GATAAGGAAGTAAAATTAATTACATTTGTTTGACAGGATTAGGACCAAAGAAGTAAGTATTTTAGTCTCATTTGTAAGACCCTAAGAAAAAGATGCAGGCATGTCTTGATCAGAGGTTTGAAGCTGCAGGACACAGCTTGACAAACTCTGAGTTTATTGCTTCTTATATACTTGTTACATACATAGGCTTTACCATTAAATGCTGACATTTTACATTCATAAGTTTAACCATTAGATGCTGGCATAAAGTTTCTTCATTGGAAAATGTCTTCATGTAAGCAACTATTTTCTAGTAACACATTATATGGTCAAAGACCAGGTAAGAACAAATACAGGTAGATCAAAAGGAGAAAGAACTGACAAAGACAGGAAGAGATAGGAAGGAACTTAAGCATATTATCTGTTTAAGTAGGTGAGGCATTAAATCAAAAATAGATGACCTTCTGGCTGCTTCATTGGGACAAAGGGTATCAAAAGGTTATGAGGTTTGTGTGTGGGGGGGGGAAGCACGGCAGTTTGCTGCGCATGCATTTTTCCCCACACTCATTGCTAATTTTTGTGAAACAAGCTAAACAAATCTAATAAAAAAGTACATAGAGCAAGCCCCCAATTTATGAAATGCTGTAAAACTGTATAAAAATCTTTGTACTCATCAGATTAGGTGGTCAGCTGCTCCAGAGCCACATGCTGTTGTGGTTCTGCTCTTCAATAAACTAGAACCTTCTTTCTAAAGCAGTCTCCATTTTGTTTATTCCTGGCTTGGACTGGACCCTAAAGATTTTTTTTTTTAACTACCAAAAGTTGTATGTTAAAATCATACCCATTCCCACATATAAGAAGCCTTGGAGACTGTATAATTGTCTTGAGGATAATTAAACCAATAATTTCAAAGGATCAAACTACAGTCTGTAGATAGATTCTTAATAAAAGTGTTATTGTCTAGATTAGAGTGAATTAATGCGACTGGCTTGGGGGCTGAACAATGGCTACATTATGGGAATATAAGTTTTTGGGCAGACGCTTTATATGTTAACAGCAGGTATTAATTCTGCAGACATAATTCAGATCTGAGCTGCAGAAATCTTGACAACTTTTAGGTGACTACAGCAGGTTATTTTCTATGTCTCTTTGCTGCCATCTAATGCAGCGGTCCCCAACCCCCAGTCCATGGACCAGTACTGGGCTGTGGCATGCCAGCAACTGGTCCCCACAAACAAGCAAAGTTCCATCCATGAGATGCAGGCAGCATACAAAACCACGCCCCCTCCGCTCCACGGAAAAACTTCTCTCCACAGAACCGGTCCCTGGTGCCCAAAAGATTGGGGACCTCTGATCTAATGGATTCCTGAATGTTTGTAGCCTAGGTATGGAGGAAAGATAATGTACCCTTGAGTAAAATGTAAAACAGCTGAATAAGCTTCTTGGATGAGAAGCGAAACGTCTTCAAAGAAATACAAAAAAGTCCAGTTGCCTCTTGAAAAAGCGTCTTTGGGACCTTGAGTAAACTATTCCTGGCATTCATGTGGATATCTTGTATGATGGCCTGTACAAACTTTTAAGAACTAGAATGAGTTATGATTGCACTGACTGAGATGTTAGTGTTTGTTGCAATAGAAGGTTTCACCTCATATTTCTGAGCTCCCATTACTAGTGCAATACTGGGAAAGGTCTCATGCAGGCCAGAGGCTGGTCCACTTAGAGCAGTCTTTGTATCAAAAGAAAATTTTGCTGGTTCATTTAGGATAGCCTTTCCCACTGGGATATCCTTCAGATATGTAGATTTCAATTCCTAGAGCTCTTAGTCAATGGAATTTTGGATGTTGAAGGAAGAAAGCTTCCCATTATGTTCATATTTCCCAGAGATTAAAATTCATTAAAAATATTTTTCTAATTAAATATGTATATAGAATCATTTACATGCTGACTTGGGAAGTAGACCTCACTGAAATCAATGGCATTTTTGAGAAGATTACTAGTTGAAAAAGTTCTATTTCTTTCAAAAACAATTTTGCTGGAGTATTTAGAGTTCCATCTAAATACAGATCCTCTCTGCTAATCATTAAATAGTTGCTTTTTTCAAGCTTCCATGAGGCCAGGAGAAAAAGGTGATGCCACTTTAACAGTTGCTATTAATAAATGAATTTCTAAAAGTAGTGGCACTTTTTCTTTTGTCCCAAAATAAGGATTTAAGAGAAAGATTTATTGTCTTTTAGCCATCCTATGTTTTGAGAGAGAAACAGACTTAAGCATCCAAATAAATCAGGTACATTTGGACTGCTGTTGTATAGATAGTCCTTGACTTACAACTGTGATTGAGCTTGCAATTTCAGTCGTAAGTCATGATAGTCATTAATCATGTGACCCTGCTTGATTTTATTACCTTTTTTGTGGCAGTTGTTAAGTGAACACCATGGTCATTGAACAAACCATTGTTTGTTACGGGGTGGTTTTTTACTGGAAACAGGAAGTATGCTGGTTTATAGCAAAACATCGAAAATTGCAGTCATATGACTACAGGCCCTGCTAATGAACAGAAATGTGGGTCAGATGCCTACTACCAAAATGTGGTCACATGACAAAATGTGATAAAGGTGCTTACAAAATGCACCTTTATCATCCTGCATCTCATTATTTTCTCTGTGTGGGGAATAGAAATCTACACTTGAAGACTGGTGCTAGATTTTACAATATTAAAAGTTCACAAAAATAGCTGTGCTTATACTGTGCCAAGGAATACATTTCTTTGATTCGCTATTGATCTTACTCTCAACATTTTGCAATTTTACAAAGCAATGAACTCTTCTTCTTCCTGGCTTGGCAACACTTTCAGGCAACGGAATTTTATTTCCACGCTATTGTCAATAACTGGTGTTGAAGACAATCTGGCTGTAAATCTTCCTGGAAAAGGCATTTCTAAACTCAGCAGACTAATGTTGTTGAATCTCTTTGAAAACAAAGGAGTAGCTGGATCTGTTTAATGACTTGCTTTTCTTTCATACTCCTTAGTGCACAAAGCATATCGGCCTCAGGCAGTTTGCCTGTAAGGTGGAAATAGATTTTTCAGCATTCAGAAAGAGTTTTGTAGGACATGCACATACTATGTAGGGCTTCTTCAGCAAGTATTTAAATAGGGACTAATTTATCAATGGGAATCAAGCATGAAAAAAAGGATGATTATATACATGTTCATTCTTCACATAGCAGGAGAATGAAACCTATGATCACAGATGGCTCAAAACTCAACAAGAGCTACAATATTTACATTCTATTTGCTGCTCCTCTTCTTTGTTCTGAGGAACGGAATTCTTAAAAAAATTCTTATTCTGTATCATCCTTTCTGTCCACATTTTCATTTGATCAGTTGTATGTTGATTGTAAAAGCCTAAATCATCATAATTTAACATCATAGATGTTCAAGGATATATCCTGTATAAGTACTGCATATTTCTTGCTCTAGATACAGACAATATTTTGTACAAATTCATTGTTTCTTTTATTCACTTTAGATAAAATTTGTGGAAGCAAAAAAAACCTACCTTATTTTCCGGTGTATAAGGCGACTGGGCGTATAAGATGATCCCCGACTTTGGCGCCGATTTCCACGCTTTAGAAAGTCGTCTTATATGCCGGAAAATACGGTACTTAACTGTTTATTTGAATCTTGCATATTTTCAATTTCTAGTCAAAGCTTTGATGGAATACAGTATTCTGGCCTAGCTGTGCAGCCTGAGATGGAATTTTAGATATGGAATCCACCCCACCCTTCCTTTTTCTGAGAAGGATCAAGAACGTTACAATTGATTTTTTTTTAATTAAAGCAATAAGCTACCAGAAGAGCCTGAAATAAGAAGTTCAATTTTTAGTGCAATAATTTGACCCAGATTATTGAAACAGCTTTTTTCCAGCATTTTATATATTTGTGTATTTTGTTTTATGTTGGAGCATGTCATTAAATAATTTTAAAGGATTTTTGTAATGTTTATACCAACTATTTTTAAAACACACATTATCAAATGTATTTCTAAGATATTGGATATTTTAAAAAAACAGTTAATTCTGGAACTTCTTGCAAATCTTTTTAAACTGATGAATGTGAAGCATTTTGAGAGGATTAAATAATGTAGCAGAAAATACTTAACCAAACTGATTTATAGATATTATGTGCCTGCCATTTTTTAATCTTGGTGTTGAACCCATTTCTCATCTTTTATCCTGATGGCAAATTTTAACCTTTTGCCCAGATAAAGGTATATTTGAGGGTGAGAGTTCCTTCCCACTCTGCATTGCCAAAAAGATTATTTTAAAGGATGAGAAGACACCTCTGCCAAGAAAGTTGGAAAATAAATTTAATAAAAATAAACAATAAACTACCTTAGATTTAATTTCTTTTACATCTGTTATTTCTTTGCATCTGATCTGATGTTATCACGTGAAAATTCAAATATCAAAATAAGAAAACTTGTTCTGCTCTTAAACTGTTTTCCATAGAATTGTTGATTTTTTTTCCAGATGCAAAACTTGACTTCTAACAATCTGGATAAAAGTTATCTATTTAGTGCCAGAAGATTAAAAAAAGATGTCCGAGGAGTTTTTCAGCTTTAGAAGTAGATTTTTTTTTAGTCTTCACAACCTTTCATGACTCAATTTACCTACTCTTCAAGATTTCAGATCTAGAATTAATAACAAAATTTAGGCTACTGAGATGTAAGGGCAGCAAATTATGGTTTTCGAATACCGTATTTTCTGGTGTATAAGGCGACCTCCGACTTCGGTGCCGAGTTGCATGCCTAGAAAGTCATCTTATACGCTGGAAACTACCATAATTTCCGGCGTATAAGATGACTCGGTGTATAAGACGACCCCCGACTTCGGAGCCGATTTCAACGCTTTGGAAAGTCATCTTATACACCAGAAAATAACTTATCATTTCTCAGCTAGGATAGAGATCTTTCATTCTCTATAAAAGAGAGAGTTTCTCTTTTGAAATTTGCTGCTAAATCAAGAAATAAAATATCAGGGGCAACTGCTAGACAGCAATTGACTGAACTGTTGAACGTCTGGAATGGGGTGGTGGAGATGGGGTGGAGGAAGGCTATGCATTTGAAGGGTGTATGGCTGGAAATAAGGGAGGGAACGAACAGGAAGGCCCCAAGGCTTTTTGCCAAAAAATAATTGCTCATTATGAATATTTGAATGCATCTTTAGAACATCCTTATCATGAAGCTTTTATATTCTTGACATTTTCAAGCCAGCAGCTGCCTCGGAGGCAGCTTTGCCAGCGGAGACTTTTAATGTGGATGTTTCTTGCAAGGAAAAATACAAGCTGACCAGAAAGACTGGAATTTCAGCTTCCCCCTCCCCATTTCCTTGGATTTCTTCTCCCCCCCCTCCTGCTGCTGCAACTCTTTTAAACAAGACATTATTGGGTCAGTGCCTCATTTTACCCTTCCCAAGCCAGTGGCTTCTTTGGCTAGAGCAAGAAAAGGACACAGTTATCTGTAAGTACTATTTTTGGTTCTTTCTCTTTCTGATTCAGTAGCTTTGTCTAATAAATACAGTGGTGCAATGTCATATTTGGAGAACAACATAATGTCTTGTAAATGCTCAAGTTTCATAGAAGGCAGGAAGTTTTCCTAAACCAGATGCATGTTAACAGTATTTGGGATGGATGTAAAAATCTAATGGTGAGTGAGGAAAAACAATGTTCTAACATAATGCCATGAAAGTTGTGGCATCAATTCTCTTGCCTTAGTAGCTTGTGTTGTACAGTGAAACTCTATACACAACATGTTTTAAACCACCTACGTTTTGCCCTGACCCTGCCTCAAATTCTGTCTTTATAAAACTTGAAAAAAGGAAGTTTCTGATTTTTTTGGCTGTTCTCAGCATGGGAGAAACTGAGAAACATATTTTACACAATATGTTTAACATGCTGAGCAGTGCAGTATCTCATGCTTTTGATTAAAAATAGATTGCAAATCTTTTAGAGCCTTGGCAGTATATTTACTAGGAACAGTTTAATTTCCTAAGCAAATAAGCATGCTTCAAAAGGACGAATTTTGAATCCCAATCAAAAATATTTTTTGCAACTTATATAATAAAGGAAAGATTCAGTAATAACTGGCAAATAAATAGAATACTTCTCATTGAATTGACTGGCTTATACAATTAGCATAAGGTTATAAAAGAAAAATACCGTGAGTGGGGTTATAAATTGAATAAATAAATAAATAAGATGATGTTATATTTTTAAGATGCCAACTAAATCCAAGGTTTTAGGAAATAGCTTCCTACTCATTATTGAAATGAGCATGGTCTACAATCCAGCACACATGCTGCTTAATATATTAATGATTTTAATGAGATTTAGGTTGCAATCTTAAATTCGCTGATTAAAGAATAAATCTCATCAAACTCAGCAGGATCTACTTCTAACTTGCTTAGAACTGAATTACCCAATATCCCAACTGTGCAAAGGATTTCCCCCCGGATTGTAAAAAATTCTTTGTCTGTTTGAAGACCATTTTCGTCTATCATGGTGTTAACTTTTCATTCTTTATTTTCCAACCAAAAAAATCCTTGTTCTGAAAGGATTTTTTAAAATCTAGAAAATTAAAATATGTCCTTGGTATATTTAGTCAGCAGTGAGATATACAGTACCTTGTAGAATCCATCTGTAAGACCTGGAGTCTTCTGCTTAATCCATTTTTCTCTGTAAAGTGTTAACTAGCTTTTAGATTTGTGATTCTGTTTTAATGTTCCTCTACACTCATAAAGAAGACAGTAAATAAAGAAGTTGTAAGATCAAGTTGCCTTTGTCTTTGGGGAAGATATTTGGAAATAATGTTCAGTGTCCAGAATTCTTACAGAAGGAAAATAGTGATAAAACTTTTTGAGAGTGTGATTCACATTTTTTTCTGAGTGCCTTTCCAGAAATATTAAATTAGTTTTATCTCTGCAAATTTATCTGCTTTTCCAATAGTGGTACATATCAATAATTTTAAATTGTCAGTTTGACTGTCTTTTTCTCAGATGTGAGGAGGGATAGTTTCTTTTACCTCCCTCTTTGAATATTAAAAGAAAAAAAATTCTACCTCCAACAGAGAAGTGAAATATGCAGTTTTGCAGTTGCACCACCATAGTTACAGGGATAAAATGAAAATTGCTACTTGCTGCCCTGATATGGAACACATTCATTGGAATCAAGCAGCACATTTTTGCTTAAGTAAATAAATATTTAAACAAGAAGGGTAACGAAGTGAATATATATACAGCTAGCTGCCCTGAAATATTTTTTTAAAAAATATGTAAAAGGAAAAGGACAAAGAAGCCTAAGCCAAAATGCCGATGATAGTTCTATTTGTCTACTCCCCCCCATTATATCCTTTGTACTAGGAATCTGTGGGGAAGGGAGGGCAAGTGGCAGAAATGATGAATTCTGCATTGTGGTCTTGTGATACAAACTCACCTCAATAATGTCATGATGAAAATTTCATCATTTTGCTATACTTCTAGTTAGGAATGGATGCCTCAGGTGGGTGGGCTTCCAGGCTCAGCTCCTTCAAGGCTTTGGTTTTCAGCCCAGAGATCTCTCAGCCAGAACTAAGTTAGATAAGACAACAAAGCTGTGACTGAATCTGGATGTTCTGCTTCGGATACCACGAAGCATCCCCCCAGAAGGTAACAAGGAAAATAGGTTGTGAAGAGGATGTGTAGCATCCCAGACAATCCTGCGGACCTTGCTCAAGCATCACTTATATGCTATGTCCTGGATAGAAGGAAGTGAACTACCAATATTTTTTTCTGCCATCCTCATCACTCTGCACCGCCTTCCTGTCTGAAGCAGTAATACTTCCAAACTGATAGTAATGTAATATGACAGGATGCTCTTGATCGTCCCTCTATAGAAAGTGATAAGGACAGGAGAAGGAAGATGTACTTTTCTCATGTCGTGCAGAAAATGCAGGCAGTTACTGTGCCCGCTTCACCAGTGTCTCACTGTTGAGCGACCAAGCTACCCTACTCGTTCACTGCACACCCAGAAACATTCTTCTAACCACCACCATAGGTGAATCATTAATACACAGAGGTGTGTGGTTCAAGTCATAATATTGACCAGACAGGTTTCATTTTGTCTGGATGTAATAGGCTGCGAGAATGACCTTGGGAGACAGGAGAAGGGGTCACAACTAGACACTGATTAGACAAAAGAAATCTCAGCCCAAGGAATGAAGATAAGGAAGCTATTTCAGAAGGGACCTTCCCTAGTTATGTAGGAACTAAAGGCAGGGGGGGGGGAGTGCTTTCAGACTTGCAAGATTCTGTTACTTGTAACCTTATAATAAATTTTGTAAGTACTTAAGTTTTTGATTTTCTGACTATCTCAAAAAGCTGACAATAAGGTAAAAAAAAAAATCCTTGTCCTTTCTAGCCAGGTGTTAGTAATTCTCTTTTCACTTCCTATTAAACCCAATGTTAAGCCTTTATTCATGACAGTAGGCATGTCTGCAAAGATTCAGTGGCCTGTTGTTTGACAATGAGGGAGGAAGACTTCCAATGTTTTTTTAAAAACCTTCCTAATGAAATGTTTTGCTTAGATTACAACAGTCATAGTCATGCCTGTGGCAGGTTTTCAAAGGCTTCAGAAAAATTGGCTGAGAAGATGAATTGTCAGCTGTGTTTTTCTGATTTTTAGATAAACATTCACAGGTAAGATAAGAGGACGGATTTTTTTTTTAAAGAGAGTCTTGTATTTCAAAGAAGGCAAAACAACCTTTATAAAATGCTTTGGAAGTCATCTTGTTGCTCACTTTGTTCTTTTAAAGTTATGTTACACGATTGGTCTAAAGTTGTCTTTTTTAAAATGGTTTGCATCAAAGAAAAATAGCCCCTGTACAGGCTCATTCCTGTCTCTTCATCATACACTTTTTCAGCTGGGAGATCTGAGGAGATCTTTGCTTAGATTTCCTTGATTACAAATGCAATCCTCAAACTCTTGCTTGACCTGTTTCAATTCCTCATTAAATAAAAACCTGAACAGGCCCAAAGCTTGCCTTTTATACAGGAGCTCCAAAGGATTACTGTGAGAGTCACACAAAGCTCCTTTTCTTGTATGCTGAATGCTCAGCTTATGGCAATGGGAAAAGCATTGGGGTATGGCATGAAATGGAATGGGACCTCCATACCTGTAGCCTGGTAGATCGGGCAACTCAACAGGCAGTTCAACTCTTGTTCAAAGACTACATATACCCTGATGTAGGTTAAAAAGACAACATTAAGGAGAGTGATTAATGATTGGTAAATGAAGCTCTGCATCTGGAGAAACAGGGAAATCCTCCAATTGCTTTCCTTAACTTGTCCTTCACCAAATCTGAAAGGACATCATCACTTGATGTTCTTTCTTGAGGCGTAATACAGTTTGGGAGTCACATGAATGCAATTGATGATAGTATATATTTCTGCTGACTCAAGGATTAAATTATGGATTGGATTAAGGACTTTTAAATTCTATAGCTCTCAGTAGTATAAAAGGAGCATTTTTCATAAACAACACTGTTTTGTGCCCTTTAACGAAATGAAAAGTATTTCATAAACTGCATCAAATAAAACTCAAATTGTATTTGTGTATTGGACCATGCATATCTCTGATTCTATGCAGGGAAATGGTTATGAATAATTATTGCTTTATTATTTTTAAATCTTCACTTTATGTGGCACTTTGAAGTGTAAAACATATAGATCCCTGCTCTGCTCTGCTTGTACTGAAATCAGTTGACTGAAAACTGTGAAGGATAGGATAGTGATATTATGTTTATTGGTATTTCATTTCAACAAGAGTTTATTGTAACTCTTTCATTTTTCTTTTTAACTTTTTTTAAAAGAAAATTTCCAAAGAAGCAATGAGACAAAATAGGATGAGACAAAATTCCAGATTGTACAGTAACAACCTGCAAGCCTGGAACTACCTACACAATTAATAATTATGTTCAGGCAACAGTTAGTCATTAGAGTGTTTAATTGATTGATGATTGATTGATTTTCTGCCGTCAAGTTGTTTTCAACTCCTGGTGACTACATACTTTTTGTCCATGTTGATCCATTTCTAACATGGTTTTTCAGATCTTCCAACAATGTCATCGTCATTACTATAAAACTAAGTCCATCTAACCTTCTCTTTCCTTCCATCTTTCCCAACATTAGAGCCTTCTCTAGAGAGCTAGCTAGGTTTTTGTATAATGAGTTCAGGGTAGGATAAATTGATGCTAGCCATTTGTGTTTCAGGTGCAAACTCTGGATTGATCTGTTTTCTTCGCTGTTTATAGCATTCTCTGGATTTCAGAAGTGTCAGTATTCTTCCTATCTAGATATATCGATTTTGTTATTAGACAGACATTAAAGTGTTTCAAAGTCCATTTTATTCTGCTGGAATTTTAGGATGCACATAGCTTTTTGGAGGACAAACATGCTTTTTTCCCCTCTAAGGCACTCACCCTACCAAAAAATGGTTTCAACGGGCAGAATACCTGCACCAAATAATGGCTGAGAAGATAGGTACTTTCTTAAAGAAAAATGAAATATGCAATGTTGTGGGGAAACAATAATGAAACTTCTAGCTTCACTAAGTATAAAAACTTAGAATTGTTATTTTTTTCTTATGGTTGCCAACAAAAACATTTTAATTCTTTGATTTTCCCCCCCAAAGCGTGAGAAAGCTTATTCCTTAAAATCATATTTTCTATGCAGAACTGCTCATGTGGTATTATAACAGTAATTATAAATCACCTCATAAACCTAAACAAAATTTAAGAAATGCCCAGTTGCCAATTTACGATTTTATAAGATGCTATGTTGTTTTTTTCTTAAAATGAAAAAGGACTTTGCTTGAACTGAATATAAACATCTGTGTGCCATCAGAATAGTTTGGCTCCCTCATCATTATATAATTAAAAGATATCCCAAGGGTTCTGAAAAGTAGAAGCCAAAGATTAAATGAGAAAGGAGTATTAGGTATGTTTACCACCCTGAGTTACTGTATAAAAATAATAAAGATACTACATAAATAAAACAATATTTAACTGTTTCAGAAAATACTCATCTCTTCGTGTGTGCATTTTTTTCTCTTCCCATCTAGATTTTGGAAAAATACATTCACCATTCTGAAGGTTGGAATAGATCCAGACATTTATTAACCCGAGGATACTTTCAAAGACCTCCTGGTTTCGTTATGCAGAACATATCCTTAATAAAAACATACCAGACCCTGTAACCTGGAATGCTTGACTAAGTGTTGAAGTTTTTGCGTTGTTTAGGTTTTTGGAAAGGATTAAGAAAACACTTCATTGCACAAGGTGCTTTTTCTTTGGAAACACTATGGAAAACATTTGGGTTCTGTTGCTCTTTGCGCTGAATCTGAAAACCACCCGCTCCACCTTTGTCAGCATCAACCAGGGACTAAAAGTGATGAGAGGTCAGTCCGTCTTCCTGTCACAAAAGGACTTGCAGTTCTCTATCCCCAGAGAGAAGGATGCATGTAAAATAGAAGTGGTAATGAATGAGCCAATCACCCAGAGAGTTGGGAAACTGACCCCCCAGGTATGTGGATTTCATCTATAATTATGTGGCAATTATTTGATGAGATGAAATCTATTTGAAGCTGCTGTTATTTGAAAAGGTGGAATGCTGAGCTCTATCTAAATTCCTGTCTGGGAAGGACTTATATGGCTAATGAAAAGTGCAGGAAAACTTGAGAATGATAGCCATCCAGTAAAAACAACTATTAATCTAAAAAAGCATTCTACTTACATAATGAAATGTGTGGAGAAAGAGGTGCTGCCTAGGAAACCACAAGATAAGTTTCAGTATGGTCTTTGAGTATTCCAGATATAACACAGTCCAACTTAATGTACAGATCCAACATGAGATCCAGAAAAAGCAGAAATTCCTTCTTCTGTAGCCTAACATGGGAAAAATACAAAAGCATGTTAACATTTATCTCTATGAAAGGACATTTTATTTATTTATTTATTTATTTATTTATTTATTTATTTATTTATTTATTTTCCAAAGGACTCAGGGCGGCGTACAAAGTTAAAACAATGATAAAACAATATTCTCCCATTCTCCCATTTCAGGAATGGGAGAATATTATGAAGAGTTATTGCCACTTTAAAAGAAACCAGTAGAGGATTTGGGGGAGACAGTCAGATGGTATTTACAGTGATAAAGCTCCATGGAATTCAGAACTGAAACAGACTAAATTCAGAGCTATCTATTCTACTCTAAGTACTATAAATGAACATCACTTCCAAATGAAACTGTTTTGCAAGCTTTAGAAAGAGTCCTATGTTTATCCAAATGCTCTTCTCAGAACTCTAATGGAGGGAAGGAAAAGGATTCCCAGGGGACCACATGCTGGTAAAACAAACAAACTGTACGTGGGATATGCAGGAAAGCAAACACACTGAGCCACAGTGCTACAAATTTAAATCACATGTGGTCTTTTGCGATCTTTCAGCATTTATTTCTTCTATACTTACCACACACACACACACACACACACACACAGCTACATACCCAAGATGCAAGCATAGTAAGTATTGCGTTGTATTCATTGTAATGTCACCCATGAGCAACAATTCAAAAATTCTAGTGTGGATCCAGTGCTTTTTGTGAACAACTTATAGTAGGACTTTGATTTGATTTAATCCAGAAGTATATCCCTTAATCACAAACTTCATGTTTAATAAACAATGGCACCTAGAAGTATGACATCCTGCTCCCATATCCAATCCTGGCCATGCAATACTGTTCTGTTGTGAGTGGATTTATGTGCATCTATGCGTTATCTGTTTTTACAGATATTTGTTCATTATTGCACCTTGCTCATATCTGTTGGAAAAATAAGATGTGTGTGTGTGTGTGTGTGTGTGTGTGTGTATCATATTTCTTAATCTCTCATCTTCATCATAAAGTTGTTCCATTCTAGCAGCTGTCGCTATATAAAGAGACATTCTTGCAGTTCTCAATGAGTCACTCAGATTATTATTTGTTGCATGTTTGAAATGGTTAAAAAAAATAATAAATAGATCATGTGCTGAATTGAAAAGGAAAGACACATATTTGGGGAATCATCATGTGCTGTTATTTAAATGTGCCTATGTATTGCCATTGTTAAGGCCACACTTTCCTTACCAGGAAATCTGTGTTTGAATACAGGTAGTCCTCAACTTACAATAATGTGTTTAGTGACTGTTTGAAGTTACAATGACACTGAAGAAAAATGACCATTTTTCACACAACTGTCGCAGCATCCCCATGGTCCCATGGTCAGAATTCAGACGCATGGCAACTGGCTCATATCTATGACAGTTGCAGTGTCCCATGCATCATGTGATCACCTTTTGTGACTTTCTGACAAGCAAAGTCAATGGGAAAAGCCAGGTTCACTTAACAACGGGGTTTTGAACTTAACAACTGCAGTGCTTCGCTTAACAGCTGTGGCAAGAAAGGTCATAAAATGGGGCAAAACTCACCTAGCAACTATTTTACTTAGCAACAGAAATGTTGGGCTCAATTGTGGTCATAGGTCGAGGACCAACTGTATGTATATGTGTTTCAGGGATTTATATTTTGATTTTGAGATTTTAATTTTCCCAAGGCAACTCAAAAACATAACACAGACATGTCAAACACAAGGCCTGGGGGCCAGATGCGGCCTGCAAAGTGGTTTCATATGGCCCGTGAAGCCATCCTGGAAATAGTGAGGGAATGGCCCCCGCTGCCTTGGCCCTGGCCCAGGCCAGCCAGGAGGGAGCCAATGTACAATTTTGTGATGGCCATCTATGCTGAAAAGCATTCAGTCTTAGCTCCACAAGGCCGTCTGGAAACAGCGAGGAACCAGCCCCTGCCGTGTCGGCCCCGTCCCCTGGGTGCATGCTGGGGAGGTGTCACCCTTTGTGAGGAATGAAGAAATGCATCATCACCTGGAAGTGGTCCTGATCCCACCCCCTTCTGCCAGAGACCCTCAGATCTGTCCCACTCTTGCCCAGGCCCCCATAGGCACCATTGAAGCGAACGATGTAGAGCTGACCACGCCCACCGAGTAGGCCACACCCACTCCATTCACACCCACTCAGTAGGCCGCACCCACCCTGGCCACACCCATCCAGCCCCCCGAGGGCAACCACAATGCTGATGCGGCCCTCAATGAAATTGAGTTTGACACCCCTGACAACATTTGAATATAACCATGAAAATCAAGCAATATCACATATTTATATTTATTTATATAGGGAAAATCTTACCCTAAAAAACCTATTAATTTAAAAAGAAACCTTCTGACATCACATAATTTGAAGAAGGAAAGGTCTACTAGATCTCTGCAAGTTTAACATTTTATAGCTGTACTGCCTTTCATGCTGTAATACAAATAAATGTTACATTAAATATGAGTCCAGGATAAGACAGACTCTCTCTCTCTCTCTCTTTCTCTCTCTCTCTCTCTCTCTCTCTCTCTCTCTCTCTCTCTGTGTGTGTGTGTAAGCAAAATTAGATATTAATGCCTGAATTAGATATTAATGACTTTCCCAGCAGGTTTTTGGAAGCAGATGTCATCCAGGAAAGTTAATATTTATTTATCTCTAACATCCTAGTTGCCTTCATGTCACATGGGATTGCATGAAAAGCATGATTTATTTGCTTGACAGACAAATCTTTTTTTAAATAGAAAATTCTATGGGGTTCTTGTTTTAGAAAGGAACTCTTAAAGATGGTATACTTGAAGCAAGGCTAGCACCACAGTTTAATGGATGTCAACTGGTTTCCTACCTTCAGTTGGCCTGTTGCCCTCAGCACCTCAACAAACTCCTCTTCTATGGCACCAAAATTCTGTTCCTGCCCACTGATTCATCATTCACCAATCAGGTCTTGTGCTTGCAAGTGGCAGTGCTTATCAATATCAACAATGCTCGCTGCTGTAATACATGAGATTGGTCTTGGATAAAGCCAAGGTAGCCCTTGGTTTTTGACTGTACTAAACACTGACTATTTTTGATGACCTCAAAATAATATCAAATGAAGGTTATTCAACGAGAATTGAAACTGAACACACCTGATGGGCATCAGGCTGATGAAGGCAATGGAAGAAATTGTTCTTTTAACTAGTAAAAGCTGCATTGTAGAAGAGCCTTTCCTATGATCTCATTTCTGTCATTAAAGTGAGTAATGTGCTAGGGATGTGTGACAATTTAATTACATATTGTAATTGAAAAGTAGTTGAACTGGAAATAAAAGCATAGGCAGACATTAATTAAGAAAAGATTTAGCTGTCCTTTGTTTTACTTGTTAAATATATAGACAATTATGGATGCCTGTTTGTATAAAAGGAAAACATATTAGGTGGCATAAAACAGATGTTTCTTTTTAACAAAGCAGATTGTGTCTATTTTATAATTGCTGTCTGTTTTTGGTAACAGTCCTGTTGAGAAGAAAGCTTTCATTATTTAGCTCCCTTGTTATCAATTAAGAGGAAGAAGCAACGATGTCTGATAGAAAAAAATTATAATTTATGAATATCATGACTGTTATTCTCTGATGGATAAGCAAAAGCTGTATGGATGTAGCTTTTTGCATTAGAAGAGGCTGCATTCTCAAAGCTAGAAGTGGTTTGAAACAGGAGACTTTAATTGCTTTTATCTTTTCCCATCTTTCTGAAGTCATTTTCACACACCAGCTTTTAATATGGCTTTTTAAAAACCCTCTAAAAGTAATGTACGCTTATATTGATTGAGGTGCACATCTGGTTTCTTTCTATGATTTCCTGCATTAGCTTGAGGACACAGATGTATTTCTCAATGTCATGCATAGAGAGAAAAGGCATTGTTAATGGCTGGTTCTACCATTAAGCAGCATAAAGTTTGATGTCTTAGAGGAGAAATTTTGGAGCACCTTTAAATGGTAGTAAATAAGAGTTCAGTCTTAATTTGTATTAAGGATTTCAGTTTTTTTTATCTTAGGCACAAAAATGTTTGAGAGCCACACTTGAGTGTAGAAGACATAATAAGAAACGTCCAACATTCCAATTTAAGGTGACATCATTTTTAGAGCAACTATTACAATGTAGTTTATAAAAGCTTAGAGAAAAGATTTTGGATGCTCAAAGGCTTATTCTAGATTTCCCAACCTTCATTTTAATATGAATCTACGTAGTTTCCCCTCCCCCCCTCATCATTGTCAAGATGGCTACTTTTGCTTTTTCTAGTCTAAGAGAGGAATTCATTTATCAATCTTCAGATGTTTTGTGACTTTGCTGGCATTTGGGAGTCCTTAATTTGAATGAGTGAGGTTCTTTTTCTCCACCATCCACATAATTGGCAGAGCACCACATAATTTCAGAGCATTTTCGATAAGTCTTGATAGACATGATGGCGTAAAAAGCAAATGACCTAAACATGTTTGTAATTAATCAAAGTAAATTAAACATTAAAAGAAAAGCATGGAGAAGCAAAAGGAAAAACGTTCAACAATATTTTTATCAATATCAATATCTTTTAAATATCTTTAGCATAAGACCTTGCGGTAGTAAGTGAATTTTATATGTAAAATGTTGGGTTTGGTAATTATATTATTTCTCGAATATCTATATATTTGGAGGACTCAAAGTTCACCCCTTTAAGATTACAGTACTCTTTAGAAGGAATGCCTTTAAGTCGGTGTTGACTCCTGTTACTACAGTATTCTTCGCAAGATTTCAGAAGGGGTTTGCCATTGCCTGCTTCCTAAGGCTGAAAGGAAATGACTGGCCAAAGGTCAACCAGTTGTCTCTGTATCTAAGATGGGACTAGAACTCATAGTCACTGAGTTTCTAGCCTTTTGCCTTAATTACTACACCAAAATGGCTCTCCATTATGACATAAGGCAGGGGTAGGCAACCTTGGCTCTTTTATGACTTTTATAGCTGGCTCAGGAATTCTGGGAGTTGAAGTCCACGGAGTCATAAAAGAGCCAAGGTTGCCTACCCCTGACATAAGGAATGATAACCTACCTCCTTCAAGATGTTTATAAATTATAAAGGGGACAAACAGTTACTTGAAAAATGTTCACACATTCAGTGGGGAGCCACACTCACTTTTTTCCCTCACCAAATATACACAGTTTTAAAACATGTCTCTTTCTCCTATGACATGGAACTTACTAGAGGATTGATGGGATTTTCCTAAAACACGAATAAGTGATTTTTAAAATATCTGATTTCAAATTAGATTGGGATAATCTGACCATGAAAGAGAAATAGCTGAATTCAGGAGAATATTTTTTCTGTGACAAAGCAAAAGAAGTAATCTATAGTAGTCCTTCCACAATGACCAGTTATTAAAGTTCTGATTTTACAACTTTCTAAATAATACAACAAAATCAATATTCATTTTTGTACCTCAATTATATTGCTAGGTTCCTATCTTTGTCACACATGATTTAATTCTGAAAATCTCATCTATGTTGTAATACATCCTTCTCCGGATATGAATGCATAATGATAAAACAGAAATGTCTATAATACTATGTTCCTTCTTTAAACATATGCTTTATGTAACAGGTGTTTGATTGCCATTTTCTTCCCAATGAAGTCAAGTACACTCACAACGGATGCCCAATTCTTGATGAAGACTTTATCATGCTAAGGCTATATAGGTAAGCAACACCTGAGTAGTATATGAGTCAAGGATACATGAAATATATCTCCATCCTTCTGTAGAATTAATAAGGAAAATTAATATTATTCATAAGAAATCTGCTACTTTTCCCTCTACGTTCCAAAAAGATAAAATCTAAAGTTTTCATTTAATTTATTCTCACAATTTGGTCAACATTTATTTGGTTTTTGTCACTATTGATCAATCATTAGTTATTGTACATTTCACCTTTTGTACAGATGTTTCACTATTGCTTCCTGAATTCTGATTGTATGGTTTCCTTATCCTTTGCAGATTTACAGAAACTGAAACTTTCACAGAAACAGTCACTCTTCTTGTAAAGATTCTTGAACCAGATTGTAACATTATCAAGATGAGGTCCAGTGCTTTGGAAGTTCCTGACTTTCATGGCCTGTCTAACATAATTAATAAAAACACAATCACTTTGGATTACAACAGGAAGATAAACTTGGAATGCACTATAAGCTTGAATTCTTTAGAGACATTTCTGCCAGCCCACGGGCAACTTGTTCTTGGAGAAACCAAAGAAGAAGAACCTAGAGGAGATCAGCCACAGAGTTCCTCCCATACAACCAGTACGTCCTGCTTTAAAAATATATTGATTATCTCAATACTATCTGAATAGTATTGAGACCAAGTTGGTCTTATACCTCTGGTTAGTGCTTCCCTGAAAGCCACATTAAGTGCCAGATTGGGTCTTTGGAGTCTGCATGTGCCAGCATGTTTACATATACATGCATACGCTCAGATACAAACCTATCTCTCATGCATACACACATGCACTTTAACCAGCCCTCTATCCAGTCAAACCATGTTTGCCTTTCAAGCACAGAGATCTTCACACATACACAGCTACCCATAGTTTCTTTTCTTTTAGAAGTGAGAAGGCTTTTTGTCTTCTCTTCGCCCAGCATTTCAATACCCTGTGAAGTCTGGAACCATCAGTGGAGCTGCAGTGGGTCCACATCTGGATCTTTAGGGCTGTATATGAGCTGTAGCCACTTCTGTTATTGCTGTCTGAGGGTAGCCCTTTATTCAAAGGCGTCCTCCATTAAAAGGGTTATTTATTTTAAGTCCATTCAGAGTGAGAGGGAAAAGTAGTTTGCTCATTGATGGCATGTATTTCGATAATAAACAGAAGTTGTGAAAAGGTTGTTTTTTGTTTTAATTAAAATCCAAATCATCAATATTTTAGTCATTGCCTACCCACTGCAGGATGAAGGCCTCTTCCACATGTTTCCAACCAATATGGTCCTGAGCTTTCTTTGGCCAATTGGGCCTGCAATACTTGCTGATGTCATCGATCCATCTTGTTTTAGGTCTCTTTCGTGGACGCTTTTTATTCAAGTGGGATCCATTCTATGACTGCCTTGGTCCACCTGCCATCAGTTCTTGCTATGTGACCAGCCCATTTCCATTTCAATTCTTTCACTTTCTTGATGATATATACTTTCGTTCGTTCTCTAATCCACGTGCAGGTTTTTCTATGTTGTGTTATGATGCCAAGCATGTATCTTTCCATAGCTCTTTGCACCACTCGTAGCTTTTGGATCAATTGTGATTAAAGTCACTCATTAATTTAAAAATGTCCTGCTGCCTAAAGTTAATGCTGTGTGCACTAGACCACCTTTCTTTGGGAGAGAGGTCCATAATTAATGTACTTATAAATGAGTAGGGTACTCTAATATCATTTTCTCAATCAACCAATATGTTAATTAGATAGTGTACAGTTTATTTTCTTTTTAAAAGCAAAAATCCCTAAGTCTACTTCTTTGCACCAAGGCTGTGACAACCAAGGGAAACTAGGAAAGGCTAATATTCCTCTCCTAGCTGCATCCTTTAGATATATATTGACCCACAAAAAAGTAGAATAAACAAAAACTAGGGCCAAATAAGAATTTGAAAAATGAAGTGTTTAAGAGAGAATAAGACTATTCTCCCAATCTGCATACTGCCCAGATCAAGACTTTACTAGTTTACCCTAAAATCAATATAAAGGGGGAGTTTATCTGCGTATCACATAACATATGGTTTTAGTGTGATTTGGTTATTTAATAATTATGGAAACTACAAATGCTCAATGTACATGAAACATGAATAGAAATTGGCTCTTTTGACCTTGTGCCCAGCTTTGTTTTGCCAGACTTTGTAGCAATTGAAAGAGTCCCATGAACACTGCCCTGGAAGTGTGCCTGATAACAGTTCAGAGATATATATCCTATGGATAAACGAAAAAGGGTGGCGTTGTTGATTTAGACCTGTATTCCCAAGCTCAGAATTCTGTTCCTTAGACATATCTACACTGATTTTCAACCATAGGATGGATGAAACTGTCTGATTAAGATTTCTATTTCAGACCTGAAGCGTGTTCAGAATATCAGAGTGAGCTGTGATGAGTTTCTTCTGATGGGACTTAGATACCAACATTTGGACCCTCCTTCACCTAATATTGATTACATTCCCATCAGGCTGGATCTCACTGATACCAGAAGCAAGATTTTGTATAAGGTAAATGTCTCAGACGAAAGACCAAAATCAGACTTCTTACTTGTTCTGGCTCTCATAATTTAAAGCAGTCTCAAATCGTCTTCCACAAATGGCCTGGATTTTGGCTACTTAAAAAAAAATCATCTTAAATGATGATCTAGTATGTGTTATGATCTTAGCGGACATTATGGGTTAGGTAAAAGTAATTGTTCTCCCATATCGGAACCCAGCCCAACTTGGTTTTGGCCGAAAACCCCGTAAACCTGAAAAATCAGGATATCTCTGTCCAGCCCAGCAGCTTCTTTGATTTCTCTTGAGCTGTGCTACGCTCTGCAATTCTCTTTCTTTATTATATGGTTTTGTTGAGCATAGGCAAGAGACCAAATGAGTGAACATAAGATTATTCAGTGATCGTTATAAAGTTTTGTCCTGAAACATCTGATTGGCATGATGAGCCTATTTGGGAATAAAGAAAAAAAGTTAGTTTCAATCAGTGAAACAGCAGAAGGTCAGAGTGAAGAGAATGAGTTGGTAGTTTAGATTTAAACTCTTTAGAATATACATGTCAAACTTGCGACGTCATGTGATGTCGCGCAACGTATCGGAGCTTTCTCCCCATTGCCAGCAATGGGGTGGGTGCGGTTTCCTGGTGACATGTCCAGCCTGCGGGCCAGCAGTTTGACACCCCTACTTTAGACCTTTCCTGGCTCTGTGGACCATTATGTAGCTTCTTCCCCTAATGTGAGTCATGGAACCATCAGCTTTAGCCACTCACTTTTTAAATAGCAAAGGTAATACTAAATACAAATACGGTATCAATTAGCTGGTTTTGTTAGGACACAGCCTCTCTCTATAACTGTACATTTTCAGCAATGAAAAGATGGAAATATGTTTTTTAAAATCTCCTGGAGATCAGTGAGTGCTGTTGCTTGTTTGTTTTTACTATTGTCAATTTTTATTCCACAGATGGAAATAAACCAATTAGACAAGCTCATAAGAAATGCAAGAAATGCCTATTAATAATATTTTTTTAAAAAAAGTCATAAGCCCTAAATATAGAAACAATGTTTAAACCCTCTTAAGGGTATTTTTAAGTAGTGGACTACTGATCTTCTTTTTACGGTGGGCCTGTCTCCATCTGTCTCTTTGTTTCTATAATAGTCAGATCTGTTTATCATATTATTTTTCAATGACTGTGTGAGAATTCTTTCACTATTATATGACTGTGTTAATATATTGTGTTGATATTCAGTGTTTCCCTTCAGTTTGATCTCATCTAAATAAACGTTACATTTCTGCATTGAATAAACAATAGTCAGAATTGGAGATTTCTTATATTATTTAATGTTAAAAGAGTTATAAATATGAGGATTTCCTTTCTCACAAAGGAGGAATCTAATTTGTTGCTTCTTTTTTATTCCACAGTCTGAGTATGCTTGGATTCCTGTTCAGCTAAAAAATGCAGTTTCTAACCAGCCCCCACAACCTGCCTTTATGGCCATGCTCATCTTAGAAGCAGATCAGTTCATCCTGAGTCCTCTATCCACAGCCATATTGGATGCTGAAGACAGTGAAACACCCAAATCTTTGCTAGTTTTTAATATCACCAAGCCACCCCAGGAAGGTTTCATTACACACCTACAAGACCACACTAAAACTGTCTCGTCCTTCACGTGGGCCAGCCTGGATAATATGCTTATTGCATATCAACCTCCAAACAGCAGCCATACAGAGAGAAGAAACTATGAGGTAATTGAAAGGAAGCTGATGCTCCAGTGTGGCACCTTCCTTTGTATATTAAATCTTCCCTGTTCCTGAGTAAATAGTATAATATGTACAATAAAAGGAATCTATGAGGATTTCACTGTTTAGTACTGTTGTTCTGGGTAGCTAGGAGGCAAAGAAAGCATTTCATATAATAATGATAATAGTAGTAGTAGTAGTAATAGTAATAATAGTAATAGTAATAATAATAAAGTTGGAAGGGACCTTGGAGGTCATCTAGTCCAACTCCCTGCTCAGGCAGGTAACCCTATACCATTTCGGACAAATGGCTGTCCATTCTCTTCTTAAAATTTTCCAGTTTTGGAGCATTCACCGCTTCTGGAGGCAGGTTGTTCCATTGGTTAATTGTTCTAACTATCAGGAAGTTTCTCCTTAGTTCTAGGTTGCTTCTCTCCTTGATTAGTTTCCATCCGTTGCTTCTTGTCTTGCCTTCTGATGCTTTGTAGAATAGCTTGACTCCCTCTTCTTTGTGGCAGCCCCTGAGATATTGGAACACTGCTATCATGTCCCCCCTCGTCCTTCTCTTCATTAAACTAGACATACCTTCATTAAACTAGACATATCTTTTGCTCACAATGACTTTTAAGAGTTGCAAGTTGACAAATGTTAAATGATTATATTATGAAAAATCAGATGAACATCATGCATGTCTTTTGCGCCAACTCTGTATTTCACTGTCCCCCCCCCCTGATTTTTAACCAATAAACTAGAAGTATTATTTGCCTTTCTTCAGCAGCGTCCGGGTCTGCAGAAAAATCACGGCTCCCTCTTGTGGAAGTTAAAATTAACAACTTACACCTGAAACCTTAAATCTGGGTCTCCAAACCTGGCAACTACAAGACTTGTGGACTTCAACTCCCAGAATTTCCCAGGCAGTTGACGTCCACAAGTCTTAAAGTTGCCAAGTTTGGGAGACCCCTGCCTTAAATCATTGTGCTGATTTAGTAGAAAGAAAATAAAGGTACACTACTCTTTTCTTCCATTCAAAATGAGAGGCTGAAAGCTGCCGTTTGAAAGAATTTGGTCCCAAATTATTGGTGCCATAAATGTTACTGATTGTAAATTATTATATCTCTCTGTCTAGAATATTATTTAGCAGTTGTTAGATCTGCTCTCATCTTGAAGCCCATTTCTGTATATGGTCACTGAGAGTTGACACCTGATCAACAATCAGATCTGCCCAGCAGTAATGAGCCATGACCAATTTTGGTAATCTTAAAAAAGATTAGGCAAATTCATAGAGGAAATGCTCTTACTTGTACTAAACATAATTGCTGTAGATTGCTGTGGATTGCCTCTAGTATCAAAATCATAGACCTCAGCTGTATTTTCTTCAGGAAGGAGAATGGGATGGCATTATTTTGCTCTTGTCCTGACTACACAATTCCCATAACGTCCCATTAGCTGCTGTGGGGATAAAATTCTGAACTATCGTTTGCAGAGTGGAAAATAGCGTTTAGTAAACAGTTTATGTCTGTTTTATTTCATAGGTGGAATTTGAAGTTTATGATTTGTACTTTGAAAGAAGTGTGCCAATTACTCTTTACATCTCCGTGAGAACAGCAGACACAAATGCACCAAGGGTTTCATGGAACATGGGTGAGAATTATTTTTTTATGTCATAATATCTTTGATTTAAATGCAAAGAACACTTACAAGATCAAATTAAATAAACCATGGAGATTTCTAGCAGATCTAATCTCTCTTGGCTTTAGGGCAGGGGTGTCAAACTCAATTTCATTAAGGGCCGCATCAACATTGCGGTTGCCCTCGGGGGGGCGGGGGTGTGTGGCCAGGGTGGGTGCGGCCTACTGGTTGGGTGTGGATGGAGTGGGTGTGGCCTACTGGGTGGGCGTGGCCAGTTCTACATCATTCGCATCAAGGGTGCCTGTGGGGGCCTGGGCAGGAGTGGGACAGATCTGCGGGTCTCTAGCAGAAGCGGGTGGGACCAGGGCAAGCGCCAAGGCATGGTGCATTTCTTCATTCCTCACAAAGGGTGACACCTCCCCAGCATGCACTCAGGGGGTGAGGTCAACACGGCAGGGGCTGGTTCCTCGCTGTTTCTAGATGGCCTTGTGGAGCTAAGACTGAATGCGTTTCAGCATAGATGGCCACCACAAAATTGTACATTGGTTGCCAGCCGGCCTGGGCCAGGGTCAAGGCAGCGGGGGCCGTTCCCTCACTTTTTCCAAGATGTATTCACGGGCCACATGTAACCACTTCGCGGGCCGCATTCAGTCCCCGGGCCTTGTGTTTGACATATCTGCTTTAGGGGAAAGTAGTAAAATATACAGAAAAAAAAATGTGGTTTTAAGCAAATAATTAGCACTGAACACAAGGGAGTGAAAATATCTATGGAACAAGTCTGCTTGCTGTTCTACGTTAATATGTATTCCTAAGAAATCATATAGTCACAAAGGTGGAAAGTTGTTCAGGTAACTTCCTACTTAGCACAGGAAAGCATCCATAACAGATGACTGCCTAAGGATTCATTTGCACCTGGTGCTTAACTTGATAGAGATGTGCCCCACTGACCATTTACTAAGGGCATGTCCTCACAACGGCTCCTCCATCATGTGGGCAACTGCCACTGAAGTGAACTGAAGCTGGTCCAAGATTTTCTGGCATGAAAATAGTGTTTTCCACATTATCAGCATAAGACCTCCCATTGGGGCAATCCCAAGGGGGATGGAGAAGCAGAAGTAGTGATGAAAGAAAAAAATTCTATTTACATTTAATGGAACCCCATCATATTGATCTACTTTCTTTCTGTAACTGTCTGCCCTAGTGTAGGGGTAGACAACCTTGGCTCTTTTATGACTCATGGACTTCAACTGCCAGAATTCCTGAGCCAGTTGAAGTCCATGAGTCATAAAAGAGCCAAGGTTGTCTACCCCTGCCCTAGTGTATGCCTGATATCCAATGAAAGGGACCTGATCATCTCTCAGAGAAGTTAGTTTTATTGTCAAGCTATTTGTTAATAGTTTTTCCTGATATGCAATTAGAATCCAAGATCCACTTTGGTGTAATGGTTAAGGTTCTGGACTGCAGCAGCCCTGAGTTCTAATTTCCCTAATTCTGGGAGTTGAAGTTCATGCGCCTTAGAGTTGTCAAGATTGGAGACCTCTGTTTCACAATAAAGCACAGTGAAATCAAGTGATGTGGAATGTAAAACAGAGAAATGTTTCTTTAAATAGTAGTTTATAAATGTTTTTTTACGTTCCTATAAACAAATTATACTATGCATAAAAATATGGCCTATATTTTTGTTATACATCTATATACCTGTACCTGTTATTTTCTCATGTTAAATATTTCTCATGTTTGGTGCATATTAATTAACTCTGGCTGTATCATTGTTTCCCTTGTCTTTTTAAGGTCTTGATCTCCTGGAAGGTCAGTCTCGCCCCATAACATGGGAGCAGCTTCAGATTGTAGACAACGATGATATCAGCGGAGTTCGTTTAGTTCCTGTGGATGGGTTACAACATGGGCAGCTTACTGTAAGAGGTATCATCTTTTTTGTAAAGTCTGATTGCAGTAGTTGCAATCTGGTTCTCAGCACAGCCTCTGAAACAGGAAAAACCTATTTTTTTCCCTTGGGTCATCCTTGTTCACCCAAATGTTACTTTCACGGTGTGGACCAGAGAAGGGATCACCTTGTGTCCTACTTTCCATTTCTATTCTGTTGTCGTTATGGACACAAGAGGGCTAAAGCTGGAATAACCAAAGGCCCCTTCCTATGAGGCTGACCATGCTAATTATCCACAAGACTGCTTCTAGCAACTCTGAAACATTCTGTACTTTTGGTACAAGATGGAGATAATATAGATTATTCTAGTTAAGCTCTCTGCCCTTTTTATCTCTTGCCTGTTGTTCATTCTTTTTCCTGCTTTTTGTCCTGTTTTTGCCAGTTAACTGTTTTGGATGTTTCTGATGTTTCATAAATATATGTCCAGCTATATATTCTACTAGCTGAACTGAGTGGCTTCTGTGCTTGCTCTGATTTGAATGTGCAGAGTGAAACAAAATTGGAAAATGTGCATTAAAATTTTGCAGCATTTAGTATCGCCTCTTAAACGTGAGGTTTTGGAAATACCTTTCCTTCTGCCCCCTGGTTTTGCATTGTGACTAGTTATATTGGATAAGGAGCAAAAATCAGAAAAGGCTTGCCTTATTTCTATTTGTCCTTTTCTGCATTTATATTCTTGTTGTTGGTTGAACTTTTTTGCTTGCTCCATAGTGTAAGATTTCAATTTGGTTCTGTTCTCTTTGCCTCAATTTCCTACTTCCTGTTGGACTTCTGCTAGTGGTTGCTAGTGAGCTTAAATGGAAAGTGTTATTCTTTGCAGATGGGAGGGAGGGAGAGATTTTGCCTAAAAGGCAGAGATGTTGATGTGTATTGGGAGCAAAGAAGCAGAGTTCTCGGAATGTATGTATGTGTATGCCTATGTGTATATAGAAAGGAATGTATATAACCAGTGGTGGGATTCAGCCAGTTCGCACCACTTCAGCAGAACCGGTAGCTAACTTTTTGCTGCCCAGGCCCAGATATGGACTTCCGGAAGCAGTATCCACACAGAGAACCAGTTGTTCACATATTTGAATCCCACCACTGTATATAACATATACACTGCAGAGATAAACTGCAATGTAGATTGTCTACATTTGAAGTATGTTAGTTGAGACTAATTCAAAAGTAATACTAACAATATTTATTTAGTTGAAAAGCATTTGACATCAAACCCATTTTTGCCCCATTTTATGACCTTTCTTGCCACATTTGTTAAACGAATCAATGCAGTTGTTTAGTTAATAACAAGGTTGTTAAGTGAAACTGGCTTCCCCATTGACTTTGCTTATCAGAAGGTCGCAAAAGCTGATGGCATAACCCTGGGACACTGCAACTATCATAAATATGAGTTAGCTGCTAAGCATCTGAATTTTAATCACATGACCGTGGGGATGCTGGGGGGGGGATGATCATGTGAAAAAGGTCATAAGTCCCTTTTTTCAGTGCTGTTGTAACTTTAGTGTAACTGTCACTAAAGGAACTGCTGTAAATCGAGGACTACTGTACTATCTCTCTGCTGTAATGCACAGGCCTTACATTTGCATTCTAAAACTTCTAGGTTTGGTCCCCTAATAATTTTGTTTGTATTACTTGAAACATTTTAAACTGTTCATCAGCAAAATGTGAAAGCTTCCCTAGTTTCACTCACTCTTCTGAATCCATGTGGAAATAAGAGATGGATCCTTCCATATTCCCCGAATTCTAAGCAATTCAGTAGGATCTCATGAGCAAATTTTTGGAACACAGATGCTATTTTTCTCATTTCAGTAGCTATCGCACCATCTTTATAAAAAGGAGTGCATTTCCCAATGCAGATTCTAATATGAATTGTTCACTTTCTATTGCCTAACAGGAGGGAAAGGATTCATGTTCAATGTCTTGGATCTTAAGACTGGAGTGGTTCGTTACCATCATGATGACAGCGATTCCACCAAAGACTCCATTGTCTTTAGGATCTTTGATGGCCACCACAGTAGCCGCCACAGGTTTCCAATCAATATTCTGCCCAAAGATGACAGCCCCCCTTTTCTCATTAGTAATGTTGAAATAGAGGTCCGTGAAGGAGAAACGATCCTGATTCAAAGCTCAATGCTTCATGCATCTGATATGGACTCTAGCGATGACTACATACTCTTCAATATCACTAGATCACCACAAGCTGGAGAAATAATGAAAAAACCTAAAACAGATTTTGTTGGTAATATGCTCAGTGTATATGGGGTCTTTATTCCTTTTTCCTTTTCTTTACACAATATTTGAGTTCTGTTTTCATATATGTCTGGAAATTATTTTCAGCTACACATGAGAGTTCACACTTGTCCACCTTATTAGCTTTGGTGCTTATATTAGCTACTCTTGCTTAGAACTGTACAAATGCACTCTGAATCATAACTTCTATTATCAAAAAACCACCAACAGTAAATAACTTGAAATTTCAGGACCACATGCTTCTAAATGTCTTGGCTATGGGTTTATATTGTCACAAAATTATAACTTTCACTGAGATAGAATATGAATGAGAATTTGTGAAAAACAAGTGGTGCAATCTTATCAATTATTATCAGTTAATATTTGATTGAATTGACTTTATATTTAAATTTACCCATGGTTATAAATTCAGTCAAATTTTATTTTCATTTGATTCCATCTTTTTTTTTTTGTCCTAGTCCCATCTGGTTTTTTGGCATATTGCCTTTGGCATGCCATTCAAATTTTAAACGAATTCCTCAATAATAAAGGTGTGATATAAACAAACAAACAACCAAATTCGCCCCAGAAGTTCTATACTCATATATCTGTAGGGAGGAATAGAAAAGTTAAGATAGTGGCTATGACTGTGTGATCAAAGACCTACCCTTTTTTATGTGCAAACAATTGACTGCACAACTGAGTCACCATCTTTACTGTTTTGTCTCCTATCACTAAGAATGCCCCTGCATGAGGAACAAAGTAATTGATGTGTAAAGTTTAACACAAGAAATTTCTCCTAGAATATCAGCATGATGTTTACTTACAACAAATATCAGTTATATCCTTCCTGAATAAGTGGGAACAGTAATCAAATGATGGTTTAGAAGGCATTTTAATACCATTTAATACTATTTTAACACCAAAGAAATGTAAAGTCTTCCCTTGTGTACCTCAAAAAGTATTAAAGAAATTACCGTACTAATTTCAGAATTAATACAGAATTACTATGTCTAAGAGTTCATGCCAAAAATATTATAATATTAGTGATCTCTGCTAATCTAAGCTACAGACTTCTTTCTGTTATTTAATAGGTTATCCAGTCACTAAATTCCTTCAGAAAGATCTGTTTAATGGGATAATTTATTACCATCACTTAGGAGGAGAAATATTTGAAGATTCAGTTGAGTTGGTTCTGTGTGATAGCCATGATCCTCCCAATCTTTCAGAAATTCAGGTAAGATTTAGAATTTATTTTAAGGAATGAGAGAATGCAGTGACATTTCTCTATAATCAAAACACGTAGTGTTAAATTCACTTACAAATAAGCATGTTCCATTTGTAGAATGGAAATATACCTTGAGCTTTTTCTTACCCAGATAGATCAAATTCATGATTACATATTAATGTTGTTAGGTCCTTCCTTAGCTGTCTTGATAGACATGGCAAGGATAGATAAATACCTTTATTTCATACAATAATGACATTATTCCTTCTCCCCAGCTTTTGAATGTTTAATCTACAGTTTGTTTTGCATGTCTCACATTTTTTGCTGAATGCTAATTGGTTGTTTACCTAATCAGAATTCCTATCCTGGAAAAGACTAATTTCCAATATACTTCCCGCAGCATTATTTACTATTGATAGAAGGCGATGATGGAAGCTGTAACTCAGGCTTCAGTTAGATGCAATAGTAGTAATATATAGTATAGCAATACTAGTAGAGTATATAGCTGTCTTAGTGGCTGTTTCTTCTAGAACAGTGTTTCTCAACCTTGACAATTTTAAGGCATGTGGACTTCAACTCCCAGAATTCCACAGCCAGCAATGCTGGCTGTGGAATTCTGGGAGTTGAAGTCCACATGCCTTAAAATTGTCAAGGTTGAGAAACACTGTTCTAGAAGATGCCAGAACAAAAGTCTGAAAAAACATTTCAGAAAATGTCCTTGGACTTCTAAAATATAACACAGATTAACTTAAGCAAAATGTAAAGACTGACATTTCACAAGATTGCCAGCTCTTGCAAGATTTCAACCTGCCCATGTGATAATTTATGAGACCATGTGTAAAAATGCTGAAATCTCATTATATGTATATATATTTTAAAAAAATAGAGATAGTATCTAGGTAAATGCAGGATCTGATCATGCTTGAAAAATTTGACAATTCTTGTCCTTGAGGTGTGTGGTCCAACAAGTTGCTTAGATTCGTTTTAAATGCCATAATTATTTAATTGTAGTATTTTGGATGATCTCTCTTTAAAAAAAATCAGGGTATAGTAATTTTTCTCATTGTTATCCTAGATAATAAGAGTACACATAATTCCAGTGAATGATCAGCTGCCAAAAGAATCTCCAGGAGCAAACCGTCATTTGACTGTCAAGGAAACAGAGATTGTTTATTTAACAAAGAAACACCTTCATTACATAGACATGGAAACCCAGGACAGTGAGCTAATATACACCATAACATCTCCCCCATTCTTCTCCTTCGCACATTAGTAAGTCTCAGGGGATATACATTTAGTGACCATTTAAAGCAGTGGTTCTCAACCTTTTTAATGCCGCGACCCCCCAACCGGTCGTAAGTCGAGGACTACTCAACCGGTCGTAAGTCGAGGATTACTCAACTGGTGCAGCACCGTTTGCAGAATGGGACTTTTGGCGGGCTCAGCAGGCAGAGACAGCCTGGACAATTCCTATTGGCTTTTGAAAGCCAATAGAATTAGACTCTATTCAAGAGAGTCTATTCTATTGGCTTTCAAAAGCCAATAGAATAAAAGGGAGGAGCACAGCTAAAGAAAAGGGGGAAAAAATGGCGGACTGCATTGTTTGGCGACCCCCGTGAAATGGTCGTTCGACCCCAAATGGGGTCCCGACCCACAGGTTGAGAACCACTGATTTAAAGTTACAATGATACTGAAAAAAGTGACTTATGACCATCCCCACGGTCACGTAATCAAAATTCGGATGCATGTATTTATGATGGTCGCAGTGTTGCATGTGACCACCTTTTGCGACAAGCAAAGTCAGTAGGGGAAGCCAGATTCACTTAACAACTGTGTTATGAACTTAACAACTGCAGTGATTCACTTAACAACTGTGACAAGAAAGATCATAAAATGGGGCAAAACTCACTTATCAAGTGTCTTGCTTAGCAATAGAAATTTTGGACTCAGTTGTGGTTATGAGTTGAGGACTATCCGCACACATGTGTCTTTTCAGGCTTAGCTAGCTTTTGATGGCCAGCTGCGAGTATTGTCAAGGAAAGATTGGAAAGACTCCTGTTTCTCTGTTTCTTTTATATTATGTGTACCTTGACTGATGAGTTTCTCCATTTTTTTACATTTATTCAGGCCCTCCCTGCAGTCACTTATTCTACTTGCTTGGATGTGTGGAGATAGGGCTACATTACGCACACAATACTAGAGGCAGACTTCAATTTATATCTAAGCAGAAATTTGAAGACACTTCGAATATCTTTGACATGTATATGACAAAATATGACAAGCTGATCGATGACAATGAATATGGATCCAACAGGAATAAGTAGGAATAAATAAACAAACCTAAAATGGCCTCAGGGGGGCCACTTGAAAACACAATTCTGATTATTTGAATTGGGAAGCTTCAGATTATGCATATGGCTTTAAGAACTACTAAGTACTATAGGTAGCTTGCCATAACATCTCAGTATTATGGACATTATGCAGTTGTGGTTACATGTAGTCCTCGACTTATGCCTGGTCACTTAGTGGACCCCCTCCAAAACTACGTATGACCCAGTTCTAGTGTTCTGATAGCTGCCTACATCCCTACAGTTACATGACTGAATTTTGGATGCTTGACAATTGACTTACCTTTATGGACAACTGTTGCATTCCACGGTCACATGACCACGGTTTATTATAACCTTTTGTGAGTTTCTAGTCTTTTGGGCTGGTTTTTGGCAAAAAAAATACCCATAGGAATACAGTGAAATACTGTTGGCATTTGCTTATAAATCTGTTATAAAATCAGCTCTATATGTTATCCACGTACAAGTACTTACACAGACGTTCTATGGTCACAATGATTTTGCTATCAATTATAACAAGTAAAGAGGCAATTATAATGAATTTTCTGTCCTGTTTTGGACTAATTGTATTTCTTCTTTTGCTTTGCAAAACATTCTATGATTTTGTACACGCATATGACAGTACTTTTTTCTGCAGTCATACAGATGCTGGAAAATTATTCATGGTGGAGAGTATTCCTAAGCTCATCAAGGATCCTTCTATTCTATCACTAAGATCATTCACTCAGGTTTGTCATTAAATTTAAACTTTACCTGAAAATGTCTCGTCATGCATTACACCTACCTTATTTTAAAAGAGTCAATTGAAAACCAAGGTGCTCTGTGCATGATTAGAAACAGTTTTCACTATGTGGAAACTATGAAGGAAAAAACAGCCCAAAGTTAATTCTAGTTTTAAAGAATTCCCATGAGGTCAATCTTAATTTGAGCTAGGATGATTTAATGGGGTTTTTTTTCCTGCAGTCTGCAATGTTTTTAATAAAAATTTTGAAATCTATAATTTAAGGGTCTTTTATCTTCATTTCCTCATTCCTTTTTAATAATCAGCTTTCACAGCTGTATAATGATTGAAATATAAAACATGAATGTGGCTTATTGTAAAAATGTATGCACAAATAGATCAAAGCAGGGGTGAGCAACTATAGCAACTTTACGACCTGTGGATTTCAACTCCCAGAATTCCTAAGTCAGCATGGTTGCCTACCCGTGGATTACAGTGTAGTAAGATTGAAAGTATTTCCTTATTTAAAAAGCTAGTAGTGATGTAGATACAAAATGAAAGATTTTTAGGATATATAACAGATATTTATTTAACTATTTTGCATCTGTAGCATGCCATAAACCACATGAAAGTTGCCTATGTGCCACCCATGGAAGATATTGGTCCTGAACCTCAATATATCCAGTTTGCGTTTTCCATCAGCAGTCAACATGGCGGAACTTTGTATGGCAACTGTTTTAACATTACTGTTCTTCCAGTCGACAATCAGCCTCCAGAGGTATGTTTCTGATGCTAAAAAAAATAGAAGAAAATAGAGACTATAGGTAAGCCTCAACTTATAATCGGCCACTTAGTGATCATTTGAAGTTAGAATGGCCTTCTCAAGGAGTACTTGTAACCTGGTTCTGAAGTACTGACAGCCATGGCATCCTGGTGGTCACATGATCGCATGCTGGGCACTTAGCAACTAGCCTGCACATAGAGCCATTTGCAGCACTGTCACATGACACCAAAAAGATTATAAAGGGTCAGTCGGGTGGGTGATTTGATTTACGTCTATCATGACATCTGACCATGATGAGCAGACTTCATTAGGGTCATAAGTTGAGGCCTACCTGTGTATCACTTAGGTCTGAGTTTCAGTAGGTGTAGAAGCCAGGCATAGATTTTGTTCATTTATTTTCAGATGTGGATATTTTTTTTTCAAAACCATTTGCTCAGTGGTATTTTTGGTCTGATTTTAAAACTATAACTGTAATAGTAATAGTGATATTTCAGAATGGAATCACATTTTACAAAACATGCTATTCCCAGAGAAGGTGGGTGGGCAAAACATGTTTAGGAAAGGGAATAATGAATAGAAATAGGAAGCTTTAATACTTTCTGATGCTGTCAATCCTTCTTTGGAATTGTCAATTTTCCAATTTCTGAGCTAGGACAAAAAAAAAAACCTGTGAGAAAAGTCAGCAGGATTGTAAACGATTAAACTTTCCTTGTTCTATATTCTGCTTTTCAAGTTTCTTTATTGGTGTCAAGGGATGGAAAGCTTTTGTAAAATATAAACCTGCCTATGTTGTAGACCAGCGGTCTCCAACCTTTCCGTCTTGGTGAACTGGCAGAGATGGTGGCAATGGGGAGAGGGGATTGTTTCGCGGGCACGCATGCCACTTTCACAAATGCAGCTTCGTGTGAATGTGCGTGCTCGCTCACTACTTCTGTAGCCTGGTTTTGAATGGGCTGCAGCTCGGCATCGGGTCATGAACCAGCAGTTGGGGACCCTTGTTGTAGGCTATTGGGATTACATTATTTTTTTACTTTTCATATGATCTGATTTTTTTCCTCACTTAGAAACATTCACAATCTGTTAAAACAAGCATGCTTGAGGTGTAAATGGATAGAATTCATAATTCTCATTCACTTTCTTATGTGGAAATAAAGCTTTATTGGATTGAAAAGGATTAGTACAAGAAATAAGTAAAGCCCAAATGATGATTTGCTGGTTTCTTTACATTTTCAGAATTAGCATTGTCTTTCTCTGATTTTATGATGTCTGTATTTGGAAACAGAGAAATTATTCAGTGTATCTGGAATCAGAACAAAACAAATTTGAATCACAGAGCAATTGAGTTTGGAAGTGGCTTTTGCCCACTTCTGGGAATTTTTTGCTTTAAACTTCCCCAATGTCCTTGCTAAAACCAGCCATTATTTTTTAGAGTATTAGAATACTGCAAAACATTTCGAATTTTTAAGTTTTTGAGGACAAACAGAATATCTGTTTTGATTTCAGTGGGCTGTTCTTACTTCACTGGAAATGTTCTGATGCTCTTCTTGTGCTGTCAGGAGTATCCTGAGTTAAAAACAGCCCTGTTTCTAGCTCAGAAAATTTCAAATTTGAAAATCGCCTCTACTCAGCATCATTGGGGAAAAACACAGGCTATAAAACTGTTAACATATGCTCATAAGAATTATATTGCTGTAGAATGATTTAAATCAGTGGGTCAGGACCCCATTTGGGGTCGAACGACCATTTCACGGGGGTCGCCAAACAACGCAGTCTGCCATTTTTCCCCCCTTTTCCTTGGCTGTGCTACTCCCTTTTATTCTATTGGCTTTTGAAAGCCAATAGAATAGATTCTCTTGAATAGAGTCTAATTCTATTGGCTTTCAAAAGCCAATAGAAATTGTCCAGGCTGTCTCTGCCCTGCTGAGCCCGCCAAAAGTCCCATTCTGCAAACAGTGCTACACCAGTTGAGTAGTCCTCGACTTACGACCGGTTGAGTAGTCCTCGACTTACCACCGGTTGGGGGTCGCGGCATTAAAAAGGTTGAGAACCACTGATTTAAATGGAATAAAAATGATGGTTTGTGGAAGAGGAAGATTAATTGCACAAATCAAACACTCTTACCTTATAATTTTGTGCAATGGAGATAAAAGTTTTGTTAACTGAAAATAAATATAGTGGGTGCTGACTGGCTCATAGTGTTCATAGTTGTTGGGGTTTTTTTTTGCCTTTTGAGGGTGGTAGTAGTGAAGATGATAATGGGATCAGTTTCAGACATGGGAGGATTTGTGAATGGAACCAGCAGAAATGGAACTGACTTACCGTATGATTTTGAAATCCCAATAAATCTAGCCAAAGACAAGCACTCCTCGTGACAGGAATGTCACTTCCACGAGATAGATCATTTCCACAGGAGGGCTAAAACAACTTTAATTGAGTTTGGCTGTAGTAACAGAAAGTTGATAGTCTGATTGTATTGTAGTTCCTCCCCTTACTTATTAGGGAGGCATCTCTGTGAATTAAGAAGGCATCTGTCTGAACCACTTCCAAATGCTAACTGGATGTTCTGGGCTTAGAAATTGTTTCATTCTTTCTCACCATGTTAATGGAGCTTGCATATCTCCCTCAAGGCCATCTACCTCATCTCCTTCAATAAGAAAATATAATTTCAGAAAATTACGGTTTTTCATTTTGGGTACAAAGGCTGACCTTCTTCAAGTCTGACTTTGGCCAATTGAGAAAATATCGTGGAAAGTCTCTCCAGAATGTAAAACTTCTTCTTCTTTTTTTTTTTAGATGAGAGATTTCGAAGTCTGCAGAACTGGGTGCTATGAAAAAAAATACGCCTTAGTATTAAAGCATCAGCAAAAATATTGTTCTGAGAGGAAATGGCAACTCTTGTGTCTTTTCTTTTGTTTAGGTGCTTACACACAGCTTGAGAGTAGAAGAAGGGGGCCAGAGTACCATTACCAAAGGCCATATTTTGATTTCAGATGTGGACACCAAACTGGAAAACATACGTATACATCTCCTTAAGCTTCCCCTTCATGGAACTGTTGAATTAGATGAGAATCCCATGAATCAAAGAGATTGGCTGACCTATGAAGATTTACAGATGTCCAAAGTCAGGTGAGAGAACAAATGGCTTTTCTGCAAAGCTATCAGCCTGATTTCAAAATGATCTAATTTTGATGAAAAGTCACCTGTTATATTTGCTGGGAAGCAAATGTGTTTCAAGTCTTTCCCATCCTCTTCATATTAACTCTTTGCAAAATTAACTAGCATGTCTGAGAAAATGGATTCAGAATTGTCTCTTTCAATTCTATTTCGAATAGTTGATTCTGTATATATAACTGGAAGCCCAACCTTCCTATGGAGAGATATGAAGACGTATCGGAGTACAATCTCCATAATCTTCAGGGCAGCATGATCAATGTCCAATGAGAAAACATCAGTTATAATTGACCACAATTATAAAATAGTTTTGTTTGTGTGTGTGTGTGAGAGAGAGAGAGAGAGAGAGACAGAGAGAGAAAGACAGAGACACAGACAGACACACACACACGCGCGCACACACACACACACACACACAGAGGGAGGGAGGGAGGGAGAGAGAGAGAGAGAGAGAGAGAGAGATGTCAATATGGTGGGTTTGGCCATGTCATTAAAGTTCTATTCCTAAAAAAAAAATGGGGAGGCTTTGATTTTTACAGCTGTATCTGATATTTTTACTTTTTTGACATGCCTCCTCATGGATGCCTCTTAGTGAAGAATGGGATATATTAGCTCTTTTTAGAAATCACTGAATTTAGTGAAGTGTGCAGAATCTAGTGCATTACTGAAGCAGTTGGAGTGCCAATAGTTGCAGTAGCAACCTTCCAAATCTGGGTTTATCATTTGATTCCCATAGGTACCATCATAATGGTTCAGAGTTTCCACATGATCGTATTCTTTTTGAGGCTACAGATGGCATCAATTCCTTCGAATTCATCCTCCATGTGAAGGTCAGTGTAAGATTCCTCAAAACACCCGCCCAGTGGAAAAGTGAAATTGTCAGAGGGATTTTGCACTTGGTTTCAGCCACTGGGAATTCATAGACAGGAAGAGTTTTGTTCTTCACTTTAGAGGTTTATGTGACAGTATTTGTTAGGCAATAGATTTGATATGTAGGAATTGATAGACATCTGCACCTGTTCATCTTATCCCCTATTGTCAGGAATGAATTTCATTTAGAGTTAAATGATGAAGAAAATGCAATGTGTCAGAAAAAGTGATTTCAGCAAAAGCCCCTTAAGAAAACCAAGCCTGTACTGCATTTTATTTGGGTTAACATCCCTAGATTATTTACAGATTATCAGATTTTTCAAAAAGTTTGCTTTTTGTTGTAATATCAGGAAAATGTCAGGCCAAATATGTAGATTATGCTTTTTTTAGAGGTATGAATAAAAAATTCTACATACAGGTTAGTCCTCAACTTACAACCATTTGCTTAGTGACCATTCAAAGTTGCACAGTGCTTAAAAAAAAAGTGACTTACCACCAGTCATCAAAAATGGAATTGTTACAGCATCCCCATAATCGCACAATCAAAATTTGGACACTTTGGCAACAGGCATGTATTTACAATGGTTGCAGCATCCTGGGTCATGTGATTGCCGCTTGCGACCTTCCTAACCAACTTTCAACAACAAAGTCAGTGGGGGAAGCTGGATTCACTTAATCACTGTGTGATTCCTTTAACTTCAATGATCCACTTAACAACAGTGGCAAGAAAATCAGGAACAACTCACTTCACCATCTTGCCTAGCAACGAAAATTCTGGTCCCAATTATAAGTTGAGAACTAACTGTACCGTGGTGCAACCACATGTACTGTCCATCTAGGTGCTGTTCTTTTCTTCAGGTTGTTTTAATAAAAACACTTCAGGAGTAGATCGGTTTTCAAGTAGGAAGCAGGTAGTCTACCTCCTGGCTTGTGGGGACTTGCATCTTTGTAATACATGAATTGCACTGCACAGAGATCTGAGTTACAAAGATGAAGGAGAAGAGGCATTTCATTTGAGGTGCTCTTCACAGGGCCTATGTGCATACCCATCGTCACACCACATTGCTTTTGCCCTTTAAATCTGTGATCACTCATATATTTTGTTGTTGTTAGTTGCGAAGTCGTGTCTGACCCATCGCGACCCCATGGACAACGTTCCTCCAGGCCTTCCTGTCCTCTAGCATCTTCTGGAGTCCATTTAAGCTCACTCCTACTGCTTCAGTGACTCCATCCAGCCACCTCATTCTCTGTTGTCCCTTTCTTCTATTGCCCTCAATCTTTCCCAGCATTAGACTCTTCTCCAGTGAGTCCTTCCTTCTCATTAGGTGGCCAAAGTACTTGTATTTCACCTTTAGGATCTGGCCTTCTAAAGAGCAGTCAGGGCTGATCTCCTCTAGGATTGACCGGTTTGATTGCCTTGCAGTCCAGGAGACTCGCAGGAGTCTTCTCCAGCACCATAGTTCAAAGGCCTCAATTCTTGTGCTCAGCCTTTCTTATGGTCCAACTTTCACATCCATTCATTCATATATAGTATGTGGAAAATGCAATGAGTGGAGTAACAACGAACTGGAAAAAGAGGAAGGAACTACTTATCTTTTTATTGCTTTTCTTCCTCTCTTCCATTCTTAAAGCTTCTTTCTTTAGAGGGATTTTTTTTTAATTGCTAACATGTATGGATGACAAACAGTTATCCCATGGAATGCAATCTGCAAATTGTTTGGAAAACTTCAGATACTTTTACCCGAGAAGCTGATTGTTGCTTTCCACCTTGAGGTTTTGATTCTAGGATTGTTCATGTGTGAAGCATGTGATTCGCTCTTTATAATCACAACAGATGTGCTAGCTAAGTAATCTGAAAATTTCTTCCTCCTCTTTCTGCCCATTTCTTTCCATATTTTAAGAGGAATTAGTAGGAACATTAATAGGAATTTTTCAGATATTTGCCATAGCTGAGGCATGCTTGCTCACAGAGATTCGCTATAGGCCGACTTCTGCTTATGCATTGGACACTGCTTTTTCTTTCCTTCCTTCTCTTGAAACTCCCATTTATCTCTCAGAACTATACTTTGTTTCCCCCAATGTTCTAAAGTAGATCTCTAGACTGTACAGGGAGACAGGGAGGAATGACAAAGAGAGTCAGTTTGGTCTAGTACAGGGATAGGCAACCTTGGCTTTTTATGACTCGTGGACTTCAACTCCCAGAATTCCTGAGCCAGCTATGCTGGCTCAGTAATTCTGGGAGTTGAAGTCCACGAGTCATAAAAGAGCCAAGGTTGCCTACCCCTGGTCTAGTAGTTAAGGCATCAGGCTAAACTGTGAGTTTTAGTCTAGCCAGCTGGATGACTTTGGGCCAATCCATTTTTCTCAGCCCAACTCACCTCATAGGGTTGTTGTTCTGGGGAAAGTGGTAGGATGAAGATGTATTGGATATGTTCACTGCCTTGAGGTTTTTATAAAACTAATAAAGGTGGGATATAAAATGAATACATGATAACCTAACTAACTAGAAATTCCGTGGCACGTGATATAACTGGAAGCAACCCTCTGTTCATGCATAGGGGTGCTAGGAGTTTTAAATTGTGGATTTTTAATGTTGCAATCTGCCTGGAATCACTGTGTATGAGTTGGATGACTATATACATTTGTTTAAACAAATAAATAAATATTTTTTTCTAGGTAATTCCTGTAAATGATGAACCTCCGGTGATGAATGCTGACCTCATTCCCTTCATGCAGTGTCCAGAAGGACAGGCGGTGCCCATCACTTCAGAGAACCTCTATGCAACTGATAAAGATAGCGAAGACATGCAGCTGATGGTCATAGTTGCCCGATCTTCTAAGTATGGGGTTGTGAAGAGAGGCGGACTTATGATAGATCGCTTTCTCCAAGCTGATGTTGTTTCTGGAACAGTGACATATGAACATACAAGTAAGTACAAACTTGGGACTAATTGTAGAAGGCACAGAGAATGGCCTTGAATTACAATGGGAAGATCCATTACCAAGCCAATGATCAGACAAACATGGCTTGAGCACATTCCACAAGACAGACAGAAAATGCTTCAAACAGGATCTTCCCTAATTCACACAAAGATAAAGTGAAGGAGGAGGGAAGCATATTCAGGCATGCAAGATTCTGTTACTATAGCTGTTCTAATAAAAGTAATTTATTGGCATTGGTTTCTTAGCCTTGTCTATCCAATAGGACTGATACTATAAAGAGACCTGAATTTTACTGGTATCCTGAAAATTATTCCCCCTTGTGATTCCTTTTGAGTGGCACAAAAATGGCTGTGCTATGTCTGGAAATGGCCTTTCTCTGATTTCTTTTTGTTTTTATATAACGTTGCTACACTATAACTGAAAATCAATATATTGTGTTTTCCAAGGGGAAAAAAACCACAGAAAAACAAAGAAGACATTGAATGCTAAGCAAGACTGAACTGTGCTCAAGAAATATTTAATAGATTTATCTAGTGTCCAATTTATTACCTGTTAGCAGATTTTACCGCTAATTTACTTCTTCAAGAAAGTTTGCTTCTCTTATCAAAAGATGAACTTTTCCCTTAAAATATACTCTCTTTCACCAGAGGGATAGTTAGCAAAGAAATTTTTAAAAGTCTCTCCTTCATAATGATTGCCCCTGAAGAAGAAATTTAATCCCATAAGACAATAGGCAGAAATAAATTGAATAGTAACTATCTTTTTTGGCAGTTCTTGCTTATTCTTCCAGATGAAAGTTGCATGTAATCAATAATGGCTTAAAATATTGGTCAGGATGCACATGGCTTCTTTGGATTAATATGGCTAGACTTCAGGTGACAGATGCTGTAATTGATGCTGAATGATCATTAATTTTATTAACTAGAGTAATAATTTATTAAATTTATAGCTTCCAAAATATGACAGTCCCGTTTCACAATGAACTGCAGCATATATGGCCATTACATAATGTTCATGTGACGGATACCAGATATTTCTGTTATTGAAAATACAAGATACTTGAAATGAAAAGTATCAGACAATAGCAGTTAGGTGCAAAAAACATTTGATTTATATAAATAAATCTTCCATTTTGCTGGTGTATCACCTTTTTGAGCTATCAATATTATAACACAGAGAGAGTTTATGATACCTGTCTCCATGACATAAAAGCGGATGATATTAAATAATCAGACTTGTACATTCACTGATGACAAATGCTGGTGGGAGATAGTTGACCAAGAAGGTGATTTTGTATCTGGAGAAAGCATCCATATTTGCCACCAAATAACTCCTGTGAGTGGAGTTTTTCTCTCACATTTTAGAATTCTAATTCGCCTTGGGAATATGCATAAAGGGAAAAACTTGAAATCATTTGTGAAAGTGCCAGTTTAATTCAGTTGACAAGTTTCTTGTCTGACGTTCTTCCCTCATGAGTCCTGTTGAAGAATTGTTGGGTAAAAATCTCTCCAAATCACCCATCATGTATAAAGCTGACTGATCTGATTTAGTTCTCTCTACAACTGCTTTGTAACCATTCTGTTTAACAGTCGGAAGGGGTGTAGTTCACTAAAAAGAGTATTTCAGATCAGAAACTGCACTACTGAATCAGGCCTAGGAACTCAACAATGAAATTTGCTAATGAATTTAGATACAAACTTTCTCATGTATATAAGAGATTTGTTAAGTAGAATATTAACTCAAGAACTGAAGTGCTTTTCAAATCTATTTTTTTCTCTCCAAAGGATTGATGGAACATGTCTATAACGATACAATGGGACATCCAAAGTTTTTAAGTTTGACTATCTTTTGTTACAATAGCCCTTAGGAAAATGCTGAAATATTAAATTACTTTATACTCTTATATGAGACAACAATTGGTTACTCTCCAATTTCTCACCCCCAGAATATTTATTCTGTTTGTGTTAGATGGAAAAGATGTGTGCAGAATCTTTTGATAGTTTAGTGATTGTTAGATTCAGCACAAAAAATATAGATACTACACTATTGCTGCATCACAATTTTAGACATTTTTCTTAAACTTCTTTTCATTATTCATGATTTCATAATTATTGCTGAAAATAATTTTCATACATCCTCTTGATAGCCAATGCTGCAAAATATCATATACTTCATTTATATATCTTGTTTTTCCAGGTGGTGAGATTGGCCTAACTCCTATCTTTGATGTTCTTACATTTATTGTGTTGGATGATGAAATTGGTCCTGATGTAAAGGCCTGTTGTGATGATAAACCTCCATTTTTTCCTGTACCATATCATAAATCCTTTCCATTATATGATATTAATATTACAATATTTCCAGTTGACAACCAGCCACCATCCATTGCCACTGGTAAAATTTGTATTGCTTTTTATGTCTGTCTAATTGGGCATGATGATTGTGTAAACATGCGTAAAATTTAAGAGATAGTAAAATAGATAAACATTTTCTTCTTTCCACATTCATATTGCCACATTCTATCATTTAAAACTTAGACAGAATGTAGAAGATGGAGGACATCTTCATTTGTACTGTACCACTGGAGCAATAAAGCTTATGTAGAGTACCATTAATACAGGTAATCCTCGATTTACAACAGTTCACTTAGTGACTGTTCGGAGTTACAAAGGCACTAAAAAAGTGACTTATGACCACTTTTCACACTTATGACCATTTCAGCATCTCCAAAATCATTTGATCAAAATTCAGATCCTTGGTAACTGACTCATATTTATGACGGTTGCACTGTCCCAGGGTCATGTGATCACCTTTTGCAAACTTCTAACAAGCAAAGTCAATGGGGAAGCCAAATTCACTTAACAACCATATTACTAACTTAATAATTGCAGTGATTTACTTAACAACTATGGCAAGAAAGATCGTAAAATGGAGAAAAATTCAATTAACCACTGCCTTACTTAGCAACACAAATTTTGGGCTCCATTGTGATTGTAAGTCGAGGACTACCTATAAAAGCATTGTCCTCTTAGATAATGATATCATTAGTGATATGCCTAATAGGTGACTGAGCTACAGGACCTAGAAGGATACCAATAGTCAGTTATTCATTTCATAACACAATCCATATTTCTTATGCCACTGCAAGGCTGACCAATAGCCAGAATTACTGTACAATAAATGTGGGTTGTATTACAAGTTACAAAGAAAAATAATCATGACTCTACTCTAGGATTTGCTAAAATCTTTGGGGTTTTGCTTAGTGTACTGTCATTAAATTCCAATATGATTGTATGAATTGCATTTGAATGCAATTTTTTACAATAAATTTTTATTGAGTTTGTCCAAGATGGACTTCAGTTCCAGCAGATACTACAGGGATGTGATTTCTATTATAAAGTAGACCATCAATTCAGTTACTATGTAATCCAGATATAAATATAAATGCAACTCCTAGATCAGTGGTTCTCAACCTGTGGGTCGGGACCCCATTTGGGGTCGAACGACCATTTCATGGGGGTCGCCAAACAACGCAGTCCGCCATTTTTTCCCCCTTTTCCTTAGCTGTGCTACTCCCTTTTATTCTATTGGCTTTTGAAAGCCAATAGAATAGACTCTCTTGAATAAAGTCTAATTCTATTGGCTTTCAAAAGCCAATAGGAATTGTCCAGGCTGTCTTTGCCCTGCTGAGCCCACCAAAAGTCCCATTCTGCAAACGGTGCTGCACTAATTGAGTAGTCCTCAACTTACGACCGGTTGAGTAGTGCTCGACTTACGACCGGTTGGGGGGTCGCAGCATTAAAAAGGTTGAGAACCACTGTCCTAGATGAAAGTAAATTGACTTAGCCCTTCTCATGCAAATGTTGCAGAACTTTTTCAGTGCACATTCTGTTCTGCTTTCAGCACTCTTTTATTTAAGCGACTTAATGGAATTACGTGAAATTGCAAGCCTTGGTCTTTTCGGGATGGAGAAAACTAACTACAAAGAAGAACAAACAGCAGCCCAGAGTTGTAGGAATCAATCCCAGTTGCTATTTTTGTTGTTCAAAGTCTGTGTTCAAGTCAGTTTTGAAATGTGAGGTATGATATATAACCACAGTTGGAAGGGTAACATAAAAAACACAAGTTGGCAAGATAGGAAGCAGGAGGTTTGCAGACACCAGATAACTTTTATGTTTACACATCCCAGCTGCCTCCCCTAGCGTTGAAGAATGGCTTTCTGTTGTATTGGAAAAGTAGTAAGAAGTCCAGGATTTAAATGCTGTTTCACAGGGCAGATCTTCCTTCTGCTGCGTATGAACTTTCTTCTGTCCTGCTGAGTTACAACTCAGAAGCCAATTCCTAACAAAGGTTCAGTGTTTGGAGAGCTGAGATTTCTAACTATGCTGGACAAAACCCAAATAACAGAAAGAACTTTACTATTTCAGTTTGCAGGTGAGGCTACTTTTAAAAAATGCTTTCTGGGTAATGAAACTTCTCTACAATAATTAAGTTGCAAAAATAAAGGGGAAACATATTCCAAGAAGGTTGTTTTTTTTTTTTTTTAAAAAAAATTCAGTGTGGTTTTCACACAGACACAGATATAGACACACAAATATATTTAGAATATAAATAATCTGGAAAAAAAGCATTAAAAGTACATGAATCGCTTTTTGTTCTCTGAAATTAAATAGCCTATTACATATATTTAATATAGCAATTAAATGTAAAAAGATTAAACATTGGTTTAATTTTAACAACCAACTTTTAAATCAGTAAATGAAAACTGAACATATTTAGGATTTTACTTTAGAATCTATAGGGATAAAACTGAATTATACATATTGTTTTATTTTTAATAATTGTTTATTAAGTACCTAAACTTTACTAGGCATTAATTATAAATTCAAGACAAGATTCCCTACACAGGTTTCTCATTAAAAGTTTTTATATTGGGCATCTTAACTGGACTTTGAACAAAAATTGCATTTAAAAACAAAAGTTCTCTTGTGAACGAAATTATATGTGAGTCTTAAATACTATGACTATTTTTGCCGGAATGAGCTCTAGTGTTATGTAGTGGTCCCAATTAATATTTCTTTATTGCTCTTCCACATCTTGCAAAATAAAGCTGGTTTGCCAGTATTGTGCGCAAGCACACCACATTTCAACAACTCATGTATGGGCAAATTTGTGATTTGCTGTCTATCATCCAGGCAATGTTCTGAAAATGAAGGATTGTCCCAGCAGAGAAATTAAGCACTGATGCATGAAAAATGGTTCATTATGAGCAATTCATAATAGCTTTCAGGCAATTAATGCTGTGACAAACAGGGGTAACAACCCATCTTGAGCAACCCATAAACCATTCTGAATAGCTTATCAGCAAAATTGTTTTGTAAGTGTGTTTTTTTCTCTCCTTCCTTCTTCTCTTGCTGAGAAAGAAGAGTCATTGGTCTGACTGGAAAACAATGGTACCAAGTGGTTGAAGGAGAATTTTCCTCATTAATTACTAGTTATATTTTTTTTTTAGCCTAGAGTACCATGGGGATTTAATATGTTTAAATAACAGCAATCATCTCTTTTTTTCTTGGTCTCTCCTTCTCTTTTTTTTCAGGACTTGTGTTTGCTGTGCAGGAGGGTGCCTCAGCAGCTATTACAAGTAAACACTTGTATGCCACTGATCTAGACACCAATTCAGATGACTTACAGTTTGTTTTAACATCCCCTCCCCAGTTTGGGTACATAGAAAATATATTGCCATCGCCTGGTTTTGAGAAAAGCAATGCAGGAATAAGTATAGGTAGGTCTGTGCTACAGAGAAGGGCCACTTGTCTTTAAGTACAGGAAAGTTGGTACCTTCTTTGGGGTGTCATGCCATTATTGTATATGCTGATAGGTGCCTGTTGGGCTTGTTATCTATCATGTTCTTGTTAGTGGATTTCATTGTATTGTGCGGTGCGACTAATTGAAGGTGACTTCCCATGTTTATCTGATATTAATATTGGCTCCAGTAAATATAAAGAATTTTCTCTTATTTCTCTGTAACCTTTTCTTTGCATTGAATATGTTTTGTTTAGTTATCTGTACTGTTATTTTCGCTAAGGGTAGAAATATGCATTTTCATTACTTTTCATTTCCTCTCCAACATGCCTAGCTTCATTTCAAATGGAAAATGTGAGGAAGATGCATATTAACTATGTTCAGACCAGGCACAAGAGAATTGAACCAACTACAGACCAATTTATGCTGTATGTCACTGATGGAAAGCATCATTCAGTGGAGACTCCATTTTATGTGTTAATTCACCCAACCAATGATGAAGAACCGAAATTCATGGCAAGGAATTTTACAGTAAGGAAGGAAATGGTGTCCCAAGGACCATTTTTAACAAGGCAATATAGTGATCTTTGCTTTTACTGTCTCCTGTCAAATTTTTTCCATCTCTGATCTTATGTGCATGTATATGCAACCACGTCGAGCAAAATATTGTGTTATGTTTATCTTCACAATAATTTATTTATACCTCTTGCCTTTTTACCATCCTACATTTTGAGTTGTATCATTCACCTGCATCCAACACTTGCAGAGCTCTTTTATTTCTTGGTCCTTTTGCTACCCTGTGTGCACTTAAACTTCTATGAAGCGTTGTTCGTGTTGCTTTAATTTTGGGGAGGAGAGTATGGAAGACTAAATATTGCATCTCTACAACCTTCCTAATTGGCTGAGTTACAGAGGTTCAGTTATGTCGTGGGAACCCAGAAGTATGACACCAATCCCAGATGAGTGTAGATATTGCAGATGAGTTGTGAATGAAAATGTACTTTGTCAGTCTTTCCTTGCTTTTCTCATTCTTGTGCCAATTTCCACTTTCTCTTTCCTTTTACCTGTTTCAAGTCTGTTCTGTTAGTACATTTCTTTTTCTTTCTCTTTGTGTGTACGTGAAATGACATACAAAAAATGCTCAGGGGCGGGCAACCCTTTATGAAAAGTGCATTTTGTTCTTTTTCTAAATCTTGGAGCTCACTTGTATTAATTAAAAAGAAGAAAGCCTTTGTCACACTGAACAGTCTAATGGTAATTTACTGAGTGATATTTGATTGATCGGTAGACCTGAGAGTTTTATTTCTTCTCATTCATTTTGTGAAAGAGTTGACTTTTATCTTCTGTTGACTATTCAGGTGCAAGAGGGACAGATGAAAGAGCTGGATGCATCTTTAATCAATGCTGTTGATTTGGATGTACCAGAAGATATCCTCATGTTTACTGTCCTTCAACAGCCCCACCATGGGTTTCTTGTTAAGGGAGTATATGGCAACAATATTTTCCATTACAGGCAGGCAATTATTAGTCAACAGTATCATGAGATTCAGGTGGATGGTTTCTCCATGGAGGTTTTAAAAAATGGTAAGGGTTGGCCATGTTGGTTCTTTGAAACAATTTCCAAATAATGGGCAATAGAATACTAAATTAAAAATTAATAGATGAAACAGAATTCTATTAATAAAAGATTCGTCAGTTCATTAATTAAAATAGTCTATAAATAAAATAAATAGAGATCAAATCAGAATAAACCGTATGAAGGATTTTCAAGATTTTATCTATTGTGTAAATATTTAAGTCAAGCCAATTTTCTGTATTTTCAAACACAGTTGACTTAAGGAATGTTGGGTTCTAATTTGACAATATTTTGCCATTTAGTTGCCATATCGCCATATTGCAATATTAATTACAATAATTAATTTAGTAGCAGCAACAAATATGGCAATTTATTATGTGAGGCACTTATAAATTTATAAATCTAAATAAATTTCTCCTTTTCCTTTCTCCCCTCCTTTTCCTTGTTACCCGCTTATATTCTCTACCTTTTAGGGTTGAAGCTTGTGTATCTACACGATGACTCTGACAGCTTAGTTGATGACTTTTCAATCCAGCTGTCGGATGGGAAACATAAAGTGTCAAAAACCATTTCAGTTAAGGTTAACCCAGTTAATGACGAGAAGCCAGTGCTGAGCAGGTAAGCTACAGATACCTCTTCCAAACTGCTAAGTTTATACTGACCAAATGATTTCGGCACTGACCACATTTGGGATTAAAAGCTCATCTTTGGTAAATGCCCACATTAATGCTAGCAATGTTTTCCATGAAGTATTCCTCCTCACTGAAGAATATTTTGTAATGACTAGTATATCCAAGCAGGCAATTGTTACATATTATTCCAATGAAATAATATTGTTTGGACGGTTTTTGGGAAGCTGTTAAAAAAGCAATAACAATAAGGTGACCAACTTTTTTACAATGAAAAGGACACAAAAAAATTGAAGAAAAAAATATTGTAAATAAAAGAAACATTTTATTCATTGCAACAATAATACAGACAACTTGCATGTGCAAAGTTTGCCAGCCGGGTATTTTGGCGTGCTCAGCAGCAATTCCTATTGGCTTTCGAAAGCCAATAGCGGGAGTAGCACAGCTCATGCAAAAGTTGAAAACAAAACATCAAAAAAAGGTGCTGGAACGCCCTTTTGAGCGTTCTATGAGGGGGAAAAAAAAGCCCTGCAGATTAGTCTTCAAATATCGAAAAGGAGGACATGAAGGAGGACACTTTTTGAGGGAGGACAGAACTTACAAAAGGAGGACTGTCCTCCCTAAAGGAGGATGGCTGGTCACCTTAATAACAATGTTAGCATACCCTCTATTGGTCAGTCTATTCTTGGGCCAAGAATAGCTTTTTTTCCCCCCTGTTCATCCAAGGAGACAAAACGTACTTATATTGCTGTCTATACCAATCCTTCTTCAGCCTATTTGCAAAAAGATACTATAAATTGTGGAGAGGATGCAAATCAAACTTCTCCCCAACAAACCTTCAAAATCCTGCACTCTGGGTCATGTCTTCAGATGTAAATGCAGGAAGTTCCCCAAATCACTGACAGGAGAAGAGAATGGAAAGAAAGGATTGTGCAATTTCCCCCCCCCCCTTGGAGGTGAATGTGTTGGGCATTTCGAATAATGCCAGGCTGAAGCAGAGAACCAGGGCATTTATGAGAGATCTTCTCCCCCCCCCCCCCCCCCCCCGTTGCTTTCAAAGGCAAACATTTTGCTTGGGATTTGAGAGGGAAGGTGTGGTTGTTTTCCATACATTGCCTCTAATTGTTTTTTTTCTTTTATGTCATTCTCCTGACAAAAGAACAGTGTCCTTTATAATACAAAAGAGAAAGGATAATAACTGAACTTTTTGCATTAGTAGGAAGTTCACCAAGGGGTTGGTTTGAAATTTGAGGTAGTAGGTTTTTTTTTAAAAAAACAAAACTTCAAAACAATCTCCTTGTGTGCTTGCTACTGGCACAAAGGATCCCATTGTATCCTTGCTCCAACTGCCTCCTTCTTTTTATAATGTGGCGTGGTCACTACAAACAGAAGAGAGAAGGAAGAACAGGTGTCCTTCCACTGCTAACACAGATGGACACAGACTATATTGCATTAAAAAAAAAAAACTATTAGAAAACTAGGATGGCTCTCTGCCAAATTCCAAAGGGAGTTCAGATTCTATTTACCAACTGTTCTCTGTGCTTTATGTTTAGCCATGATAACTTGGGATGAATTCAAGGGACAACAAAAACCCTCTGCAGCTCTAATGTTGACTATTCCATCAGAACACCTAAAAAGGCCTTAGGGGAGCTTCCAACATTAAATCTGTACCTTTAAGCATTCATTGTGAATGGGCTCTTCTTATTGCCCCTTTCTTTCCAACTCCCTGTGTTACTTTCTTCACGCAGCAGAGGAATACCACTCACAGAGAAAAGAAAAGAGTATTTTCTAGACTGAACCCAACAGATAAAATGATACTAGTCCCTGATTAAGTTGGAAAAGTCACCTTATTGGAAAGATAGTTTTTTTTACTAGAAAGTACCTGATAGAATTTTGAGGGGGCTCCATGTAGAAAGAACCTCATGTTGAGATAGGAATCATATAATATTTTGGTCAGAATAGAGCTGGAAGAGACCTTGAAGGTCTTCTAGTACAACCCCCTGTTCCAGCAGGAGACCCTATACCTAATAATAATAATAATAATAATAATAATAATAATAATAATAATAATAATAATAATAATAATAATAAATAATGTTGGAAGGGACCTTGGAGGTCATCGAATCCAACCCCCTGCTCAGGCAGGAAACCCTACCATTTCAGACAAATGGCCATCCAGTCTCTTAAAAACTTCCAGTGTTGGAGCATTCACCACTTCTGGAGGCAGGTTGTTCCACTGGTTAATTGTTCTAACTGCCAGGAAGTTTCTCCTTAGTTCTAGGTTGCTTCTCTATTTGGTTAGTTTCCCTCTATTGCTTCTTGTTCTGCGTTCAGGTGCTTTGGAGAATAGCTTGACTCCCTCTTCTTTGTGGCAGCCCCTGAGATATTGGAACACTGCTATCATGTCCCCCTTGTCCTTCTCTTCGTTAAACTAGACATACCCAATTCCAGCAACCGTTCCTCATATGTTTTAGCCTCCAGTCCCCTAATCATCTTTGTTGCTCTTCTCTGTACTCTTTCTAGAGCAGTGATGGCGAACCTTTTAGAGATTGAGTGCCCAAACTGCAACCCAAAACCCGCTTATGCATCGTCGAGTGCCGGGTGGGTGTGGCCCATTGGCTGGGTATGGCCCATTGGCTGGGCATGGCTGCGGTGGTAATGGCAGACTGGGTGGGACTAAAAAGTTCAATCAATCAATTTCAACTTTGCAAGATCTTTTTTTTTCCCCACGAGAAGTTGAAATTGACTGATTGAACCTTTTTTTTTTGTACATGGTGGCGGAGGCCTAAAGCAAAAAAGTTTTATAAAACCCAGCTGAAGGCCTAGGACTGGAGCGATGATGCGTGTGCCCACAGAGAGGGCTTTGAGTGCTGCTTCTGGCACCCGTGCCATAGGTTTGCCACCACTGTTCTAGAGTCTCAGCATCTTTTTTACATCGTGGTGACCAAAACTGGATGCAGTATTCCAAGTGTGGCCTTACCAAGGCATTGTAAAGTGGTATTAATACTTCACGTGATCTTGATTCTTTCCCTCTGATAATTCAGCCCAGCACTGTGTTGGCTTTTTTGGCAGCTGCAGCACACTGCTGGCTCATATTTAAGTGATTGTCCACTAAGACTCTGAGATCCGTCTCACAGTTACTACTATTGAGCAAGGTACCCCCTTTCAGACAGGTGGCTGTCCAGTCTTTTCTTAAAAACCTCTAATGATGAAGCACCCACAACTTCAGAAGGCAAGTTGTTCCACTGGTCAATTGTTCTCACTGTTAGGAAGTTTCTCCTTAATTCCAGATTGCTTCTCTTCTTGATTAGTTTCCATCCACTGTTTCTTATCTTGCCTTCTGGTGCTTTGGAGAATAAGTTGACATCCCCCCCCCCTTCTTTGTGGCAACTCCTCATTAATTTTATAATATTAGATTTCTCAAATGGTGCTCAGAAGATGCATGACAAACACTACAATGCAATATTTGTGATGTTGAGCATGAAGTACCAACCTCATCATTAATAGAGAGGTATGACGTGATGAACTTTTATTTGACAATCTAAATGCTGGTGCTGCAGGCTTCAGTTGCTGGTTTGCAGGGATTTTTGTGTGTGTATGGGACTGCTAGTCTAGGTGCATCTGTCTATGAGCACAGTTGTGAGCCATCCTTCCAGTACATTTGATGGAGCTTAAAAAAAAAAATAGTCTTTTCCTTCCCCCAAACAAATAATGAAGCAGAAACGGGAGGCTTACCCTCTCCATCATTCATTTGATGGAGATCATCCATGGTAAATGTCATAATCCGATTTTATCGGATGATCTACCTCTTTATGATTGCAGGCCAAAAACAACACTGTGCCAAGCAAGCTTCAGCCTTGGGAAAAATCCCATTGGAAAAGCTGTAGCTAATGCATTCCTGTCTTAATGTAATAGAGTCTTAAAGGTGCAGACCCTTAGCAACATGTGGCAAGACATGGGAAATGCTGTAGTCCTTGAAGACTAATTAGCATAGGATACATATGCTTTTTTTCTTAAACAACAGATGCAGGAGGTTATTCAAGCTCACGAGCAATAAAATGTCCTATTCCGTTTATAATATGTATGGGACTTCCATCTTCCTTCTGGCCTCTCTCCTGGTCTTTTAACAGCAAACTAAAGCATAGAAAAACAGTAAAAAAAAATCTTCCCAGTATTTATCTCCATCTCTGAGCAATTTCATCAATTTTGTTTCTGTCTTGGGTACAGAGAAAAACACTGCCAATGCTGCAGTCCTATTGACATGCTAGCTCACTTGCTAACGTGGTTGCAGTTTTGCACTTGATTAGCTTGACTTGAAGGGGATGGAAGCTCTTTGTGAACAGGTTTGCCACCATCAATCTTTTCCGAAGCTTTTTCAAGCTAGAGCTAGAAAATAATCAGTTCTCCTAGCAGGCGAAATGTATGGATTTGTTTTCAAAATTAAGCCTTTTCAAATTCACAGAAGTACTTGTGACCCATAAGTACACAAATATGTTTATTTTTTTTATACCATGTGGCAGCACTTAATCAAATGAACTTGAATGAGAAATGCACCCATCTCCGTTGTAACTGAGTCCAAGCCACCACCTCTTGGCTTTTGTTTTGCCTGTCCCATCATCACAGCCTTTTCCAGAGAGCTGGTTCATCACATAATTTGTCCAAAGCACGATAATTTGATCTGTTTATATACTGTGTGTGTGTGTGTATATGTAAGTATTTCTGTATACCCCTCCCTACAAATATAGTCAGTATACAAAGAATAAAGAAAGCTACAGAATTGAAGCACAAAAAGATAAACTAATCAGAAAAAAGAAAAATTCATACAATGTCCTTTATTTATTTATTTAGTGTATGGCATATCATACATGGACTGTCAATATAAATTAACATACATTGTTATGAACATTTACATTATTCAGGCAAAACTAATTTAACCCTCAAGCTTACCACTAAATCTAGACTATATAAAAGCATAGTGTTTCATTTTTT